TTCACCTGGATTGTGCATGAACTGGCTAACCACACTAAGAGCATAAGCTAAATCTGGCCTAGTGTGCGATAGATACATCAATCTCCCTACAAGTCTCTGATATTTTTCCTTGTTAGGTGGAGTTTGATCTTCTTCAATGCACAACTTCAATCCCTCTTCAATTGGAGAATTTGATGGTTTGCATGCTGTCATTCCAGTTTTTTTCAGTAAATCCAATGTATATTTTCGTTGTGAGAGAAAAATACCTGCCTTTGATCTTGAGACCTCAATTCCAAGAAAATATTTCAAAGGACCAAGATCATTCATCTCGAATTCCTTTGCCAAGTACTCTTTCAATGTCTTGCGTTCCTCTAGATCGTTTCCCTAACTATCATGCCATCAACAAGACAATAAGAATTGTAATCTTTCCTTCCTTTTTCTTTAGAAACAAGATATGATCTTGGTTGCTCTGTTGATATCCAAAATCAAGCATTGACTTGGTGAATCTACCAAACCATGCTCATGGCGATTGTTTTAGTCCATACAATGACTTATTCAACTTGCATACCTTCTTGCTATGTGTATTCAGGATCTCACATCCTTCTAGTAACTCCATATAAACTTCTTCAGATAATTACCCGTGTAAGAAGACATTTTTTACGTCAAATTGTTGTAAGGACCAATCAAGGTTTATAGCTAGAGATAACAATACTCGAACTGTACTAATTTTGGTTATGAGACCAAATGTTTCAGTGTAATCTATTCCATATGTTTGTGTGTACCCTTTTGCCACTAATCTAGCTTTGAATCGCTCAATTGTGTCATCTGCATTAAATTTCACAGTATACACCTATCGACATCCTATTAGTTTCTTTCCAACTGGACAATCTACTAATTCCCATGTGTTTATTTCTTTGCAAGGATCTCATCTCCTCATTCATAGCATCCTTCCACCTAGAGTTAGCTAAAGCTTTCTGCACACTGTTAGGAATAAATACAATAGATAATTGACTTATAAATGCGATATTTAAGTTAGACAAATTCTGGTTACAAACATAATTACTCATAGGGTATCTTGTCTTACTGGTGAGGTCAGGATCATAAGTAGGCTTAGGGATACCTCTAGTAACACGATCTGGCAGAATTCTTTTTTCTGTATTAGGTTCTTGAGAGGACGATTGGTGTGGTATATCATCAGCATCAATAGGCAAATTTTCGATCTCAACATACTCAAAATCTTCCTCATTATGTGGTTGTTGATCATAACATTGTTGCATACTTTCATCATCTCCTGATATAACTTTGTAACTTTCTTTCTCTAATCTGACCTCAATATCAATTTCTTGAGGAACAAAAGTATGATCTTCATCATAATTCTCCCCCTGAATTTCAGACTCGGGGGAAAAATATATCAAAGTTTCATGAAAAACTACATCTATAGTAGTAAACATTTGCTTGGTTTGTGGATTGTAGCACCAATATCCTTTCTGATGATCTGCATAGCCAAGGAACACACACCTTTCAGCTCTAGGAAACAACTTACTTCTCTTATGCTTGTGTAAGTGAACATAAGCAACAAAAAAAAACTCTATGTGTTAGTTTAGAAATTTTAGGACTTACTATTGCATCTGTAAGTGATTGAAGATGTGTTTTATACTCAAGAGACCTGGACGGTGTTCAATTGATAGTGTATACTACATATGTGAGAGTTTCTCCCCAATATATTGTTGGTATATGAGCTTCAATCAGTGCAGCTCGGACCACCTCCAATAGATGACGGTTCTTTCGTTCTGCCACCCCATTTTATTGTGGAGTATTTGGACAAGATCTCTGATGAACAATTCTTTTGGCTACTAAAAAATGTTGATGTTCTGATTGCATATATTCTCCTCCGTTGTCATTGCGCAGTACCTGAACTTATACTTTGTAGTGGGTCTCAATCATTTTGCAGAATTTCTGAAATAGTCCTCCAACTTCACTTTTAGACTTCATCAAACATAACCAAGTCATTCGAGTACAATCATCAATATACGTTATAAACCACGTTAAGCCACCCAACGTTGTAACCTTAGATGGACCCCATACATCAGAGTGAATGATCATAAAAGGAATAAAACTTTTATTTGAAATTAAAGGAAAATATGTTCTATGACTCTTTGCAAGCTCACAAACATCACAATAAAAAGTTGAAGTGTCTACTTTGTCAAATACATTTGGAAATAATTTTTTTACGTAACCAAAAGATGCATGTCCTAGACGCTTATGTCATAATTAAATATCCTCACCTTTTCTTACTTCTTGAGACCCTTTTGTTGCTAGCACTTGACCAAGTCTCTTTGAATCTTTTTCTGTCAGGTCTAGGCAATACAACCTTCCTCGCCTAATATCACAACCAATCGTCTTCCTCATTTGAATGTCCTTAAAAACACAAGAGTCAGGCCCAAAAATTACAACACATAAAAGAACTTTGGTTATTTGCGAGACTGACAATAAGTTATATTTAAGAGAAGGAACAACAAGGACAGTATCAAGATTCAAATTGTCTGAAATAGAGATAGTTCATTCTCCAATAATAGTGGATTTACTACCATTGGCTGTGGAAATACTTTTTTGTGAGGAATGTTTAAGATTTTTAATATGTCTAACATCAAAAGTCACATGATCAGAACATGCAGAGTCAATTATCCATGCATTATTCAGAACAGAAGATATGCTTATTAAAGTTTTACCATTGGAATCATCATTACCTGCAATTGTAGTAAGCATCATGTCTTTGTCGTCCTCTTTGTCAATGACAGTCACAACAACAACAGTCGGATTTCTTTTTGAATTCTTCTTCGATGCTCGACTGTGATCTCACCACTCGGGGTATCCTATGATTTCATAGCATCTTTCCTTGGTGTGTCAATCCTTATTACACTGAGTACACTTATAGTTACATTTTTTCAAAATCTTTTGATTGCTTCAATTTACTGTGATGATTTGTTGGTTGCTTCTTTGTCATCATAGCTGTGGAATCAGAAATCATATCTTCTGTTTTTAACGTTGTTCGCCAGACTGTCTCTCTCCAGATTAATGCATAACACTCTTCTAAATCAGGTGTCACTTCCTTGTGTAAGATTTCTCCACGAACTTGCTCAAAATCATCATCCAGTCCAGCAAAGAATATATGCACCCTTAATCTTTCAATGAACTTCTGATATGACTTCACATCATCAAGATCCTTCATGACTACTTTGTCACGATGGTCCAATTCCCTAAAAATCTCAATCAACTCTCCATAATATTCAGTTAAGGTTCTATTATTTGATTTTGCAGTGAATACCCTTTGATTCAGGGCAAACACATGTAGCTCATCACTTCCATCATAAAATGTCTTTGACAAAGCATTCCAAATATCGAGGGCAGTGAGTAAGCGAAGATACATTTTCATGATTTATGGCTTCATGGACATCAATAACCATCTTTTTACTTTTTAGTTTTCAACATACCAGTTTTCATATCCCTCAATTCTCTGTTGGAGGCTTCACCTTCCCACGGATGTAGGACAATTTTTCCCTTTCTGCAATGTGCATCTCCATTAGTTGTGATCATACGTCATAATTGGATTCATTTAGGATGATGTCTACGTTGAAGACACCTTCATATTGAACAACCATTGAAATTAGTTTTTCCGTCATCTCTCTAGTTAAGATCTCCAAGAATTTAGAAAGAAAAAGAAAAAAAATTATAAGCTCCGATACCAAATTGAAAAACATAGAATTCATTCTATAATTTTTATTCATATTATTTTTGTACACAAATATTATAATCTTATAATATTTTACTCCAACAAATCAGGAGTAAATAAAAGAAGTTCTGAATATACATTATTTTATATCGCTATACAAATATATAATTTAGTTAATCAAATATTTTTATCCCAACAAGATTTAATAAAAAATAATTAATAATAATAATAATAATAATAATAATAATAAATTTTAATTATTTTAATTTTAATTTTAATTTTAATTTTTATTAAATCTTTCAACGATTATTATATTAGTAAATAGAGTTGTCTAACCATAGATAACCAATTCTCAATATATCTTCCCCTTTATAAATCAACTTTGTAAACTCGTATAAAGGCTCGTATAAACAATATAAATAGATTATTATTATTCATTTATTATCATCAACATTTATTATTCCATTATTAAATGAAAATGTCTATATGAACATCACCCTAAAAATATAAAAGGTAAGAATCATTACTTAGTTTTATAGCTATGAATATTTTGATGGGATTAATTTATTTTTTAAGTGGTTAAACATGCAACAGGACATGGAATTTATAAATTCAGTACTTAAAATTCTCACAAGATAAATTTTAATTTAAAATGAAAATGAAGAATATTTTTGAGAGTTACGCCCCTAAACAATATTTGATTTTGATCTCTCTTTTAAGATCATGAAGTATTTCAACATATTTTAAATGTATCACTTCTAAGTGAATCCTAACATTTTCTCCAACCTTTAACTTTACTTTCTTAATATCTATGTCTTTGTTCCAGTTTCTGTGTCGTATTACGAACTTGGGAGGTTAAATCAGTTTTATTCGAGAAAGTGAAACATGTTCTATTATAAGGAAGAAGGAAAAAAGAATATTAAAAATAATAAATAAATAAAAGTTAAGTAATTACAAAGTTACACTAGATGGGTGATTGATTTTGAAAAATAAAGTGATATTTTTTTATTTATAAAAGATCATTTTTCTAGTCACTTTTCAATTATTTTATTTTTAAACGGTGGCCCAAAATAGACAGTAGCTAGTATGATAGATTCATAGTGATCTCATTCTCAAGTGTTTGGAATTTTGCCATATAGAGAGACACATATCTAAGAAAGTGCCACCTGTATAAAAGTGTGTGACGTGTCTGCAAAACAAGACACGTGCCTCAAAATGTAGGTCACCTTGCTCAATATAGAGCCACCTTTGCTCACTTCATGACCATAGTTTCCATCCAAGTTCCCGCACAATGTTAACAATGGAGTCTCGAAAACAAGCTTTGCCATTATCTTGGGTCCTCATCTTCTTCCTTGCCATTTCCTTGTGTGGAGTGAAGGCATCAAGTGGCAAGCCTCAAGAGGGTCCTGTGGTGGAAAAGGATCAATGGAGGAAATTACTTGTCACTGAATTCGGACAGATAACTGCCCTTGACATCAAGGAGGATCCAGAGAAACTACCCTACCATCTTCAGTTCATCACATTGGAGCCTAACTCGCTATTTCTTCCTGTGCTTCTACATGCAGATGTGGTATTTTATGTTCATACAGGTGCATACCCTTTAATTGTCTACATTCTAATATACGCGATATTCTGCAAAATATTTACTCGGCACATATTAAACAAATTTTGATTATAAGTTTTTGCTATCTACCGCTTACTTAATCCAAAACCACACGAGTGTTTACTTTTCAATTACAGCTTTCCTAATCTATTGTTATAGACAACAATTATCAATTTTGTTTATATTTTCAAGACAATATAGTGGAACATGCATAATATTGTGGTACAAACAAATTAACTTCAACACTTTCATCTCACTGTGGCTTCAGGGAGTGGAAAGCTGACTTGGGTTAATGATGATGGTACTGGAACGATCCCTTTACGCAAAGGAGATCTCTGCAGTCTCGGTGAAGAATCTGTTTTCTATATACAGAGCGACTTAGAGGCTGAAAGAAGGAAACTAAGGATTTATGCAATGTTCACCAATACAAAAGACAATACTTTTGTAAGTGCTACACATGTATTTTTTTTATTTATTTTTTTCATTGAACTTACACATAAATTTAAGGTTTGTTTGCTGTTGTTTATGGTAATTGTTAACCACAAATTCAGAATCCGTCAATCGGTGCTTACTCAAGAATCAACGAACTGGTTAAGGGCTTTGATAAGAAAATCATGCAAGCAGCTTTAAAGGTATTGCTTTAGCCACACATCGTGCAACTGTGGAACTATTTTCCTTTCACACAAATTTTCGTTTTGGTTTTGTAATCGTACAAAACTGCATTTATGGGGATCATTTTGTAGTAACTACAAATTCTGAATTTCGAAGGTGCCAGATGATTTGATTGATGAAATAATTAACAAGAGAAACACCCCAGCTATAGTGCATGCGGTTTCAAAGCAGAGGAATGTTGTGCAGGAACCGGAGGCTTCGTTTCTTAAAAACTTTCTAGGCGTTGGATCCAACTCCAACAAACTCGAAAAATACAACATCTTTGATCATGATCCTGACTTCAGAAATCGTTATGGATGGAGTGTAGCAGTGACCAAAAGGCAATTGAAGTCATTGAAGCGGACCAACATTGGATTTCTTATGGTGACTTTGGCCAGGGTTAGTGATTATAATATTAACTAGGCCCAATAAATGGTTTTGTTCATAACCGGAGCGAGCCGTTTGAACTGATTTTTATTATCATTATATGTTTATGAAGTTGTATTAAAATTAATTTCCAAACTATATAATTGAAGGGATCAACAATGGGGCCTCATTGGAACCCGAAGGCAACAGAGTTGGCAGTGGCAGTAGAAGGGAAAGGCGTGGTCCGAGTGGTATGTGGAAGCAACAATGAAGATGAGACAGCGTGCCAAAACATGAGGTTTAAGGTTAATGCCGGTGATGCTTTTGTGGTGCAAAGGTTTCATTCAATGGCTCAGATGTCATTCAACGATGAAGCGTTTGTTTTTCTTGGCTTCAGCACTTCAGCAAAGGACAACCATCCTCAATTTTTATCGGGAAAGGGATCAGTGCTTCATAAACTGGACAAGCACATAATGGCTACCTCTTTGGGTGTGAGTGACAGAACCGTTGACGACCTTCTGCATTCTCCCCAGGATTCCATCATTTTCGGGTGCAGTTCCTGCGCGGAGGAAGAGGAGAAGATAATGGAGGAGGAAGAGGAGAAGGAAGAAAGGGAGAAAGAGAAAGAGGAGGAGGAGAAAAAAAGAGAGGAAGAAAAGGAAAGAGAGGAAGAAAGGAAAAGAGAGGAAGAGAGGAAGAGAGAGGAAGAGGAAGCTAAAAGACAACACGAAGAGAGGGAGAAGAAGCGCGGGGAGGAGGAAGAAAGGGAAAGAGAGGAAGAGAGGAAGAGAGAGGAGGAGGAAGCTAAAAGACAACAAGAAGAGAGGGAGAAGAAGCGCGAGGAGGAGGAGGAGGAAGAAAGGGAAAGAGAGGAAGAGAGGAAGAGAGAGGAGGAGGAAGCTGAAAGACAAGAAGAAGAGAGGGAGAAGAAGCGCGAGGAGGAGGAAGTAAGGAAAAGAGAGGAAGAGAGGGAGAGAGAGGAAGAGGAAGTGGAAGCTAAAAGACAGCAAGAAGAGAGGGAGAAGAAGCGAGAGGAGGAGGAAGAAAGGGAAAGAGAAGAAGAGAGGGAGAGGGAGGAAGAAGAAGCTAAAAGGCAACAGAAGAAGAGGGAAAAGAAAAGAGAGAAAGAAAAGGAAGAAAAGAAGCGAGGGGAGGAAGGAGAAGGAGAAGATCCACCATGGAGGGAGGGAGTGAGACCAGAAGGAGAAGAAGAAGTAGCAGCAGGGGAGCAAGAACAAGCCAAAAGACAGCAAGAAGAGAGGGAGAAAAGAAGAGAGGAAGAGGATGATGATCACGTTGAAGGACAGGCAGAAGAAGAGCATGGCCACTGGAGCAGCTTGGAAGGGAGGAGAGTTTTGAAAGTAAGAAACCTTTGATTCCTTCTCAAAGTCTTGAACTTTAGCTCCTCTACGTGTATTGCAGCAAGGGTTCTTCTTTTTATGTTTTTATCTTTGTTACCTTTAGCATGTGTTTATGTTTTATGCCTGCTTGTTACAACGTTGAAGGTCAATGTTTCATGAAGCATGTCGATGGTGGTATTAATAAGAAAGTTAGTTTCTCTAAATTGGGGCATGCTGCTTCTGACATGTGCATAGATTTATAAAATAACAATATTCATAATTTTAGAGCGAAACCTATCATACTTATTTAGATAAGTTATTAATGTTAAGTGCAGTATACAATATTTATTTTATGTTTTATCTATATTTCAATGTTAACTAATCATTAAAATTGTAACAATGTAAGTTATAATTATTTCTTATACAATCATTCATAAGAATTTTTTGTTTACAATTTATAATTTTATATTTTGTTTTTCTAAAATACACTTTCAAAGTCTTAAACAGTGTTGTGTTACACTTCCAGGTTATATTTGAAAATAGAAAGAAAATAAACAAATAAAAACAAAATGGAGAGAAGTAAAATGAATATAATGAGATAAAATTTCCCCTTCATTATTAAGATTGGTTATGATAAAATAAAACAAAAATTCAACTTCTTCCTTCTAAAATTAAGGACAATAAAATAAATGAAAGGAAGAATAAGTTGGACTAGTTTCTTTTATATATTACCCTTATTTTATACCATTACATTTCGTTCTCTTAAATTACGGAAATAGAAAATTAAACATAAATAATGTAATGGGATGGAATAAATTTCATTAGTTTCAATTATATTTCATGTTCATTTTGCATATTTTAGACAATGGAACACAATACTATTTCATTTATTCTCTTCCACCACGCATAGCCCAGGGGCAACAGTTGCATGTGCCCACAAGAGCACTACTTATTAAACCAGAAGAAAAGTGCCATACTTGGGCCATCCTGATCAAGCCAATCCACTAAATGTGCGTAAGATTCTCATTAAGTCCATAATATTTAATTGACAAGGTCATGGAATGACTAGAAGGAAAAAAATGAAAGCAACTAGGTTATCTTTTCCAAATTCTTCTGATTGTATGCATAGCGAGAAAGTAGAGCGCAGCAATGACCCTTTTGTAGTGACAAGATTTCAGTAGGGAAGCAGGGAAACTAGAGTTTGAGAGTGCAAAATAGCAGTTCATTCAGCATAAAAAGTGACAAGGCCATTTAGAACAAAAATGAATATACAAAATGAGACAAAGTAAAGATGGCCAAAAACTCACGAGCAAACTGAATCAGATATATATGAGACAACAACAGTAATGTCATCAAGTTTGCCACCATAATAACGGAATCCAGCTTCCTGAGCGGCAGTAGAAAATGGAGTCGGCCTACTCTGGTCCAGTGCTCGCTGACGCGCCAGTGCTGCTATCTTCTGAGCAGTTACTTGGGGCTCTAGTCCAGCCCTAATTGCATGAACAACAACTGCAGTGATCTCACTATTGTACAAATTGTCAAATAAGCCATCTGTTCCAGCAATAACTACATCTCCTGAAGTAACAGGTATGGTAAAAACCTGGATACATTATTGCAAAATGTATACTTAGTTTTTTACTTACGCAGAGGCACACAATTAAGAAAAGAACATCAAACTTCGCCTTCCCTGAGTCATCCTAAGGTATGATACTATATCATGATGAGGGGAGAAAAAAAAAATGGTCCTTCAGACAATAGATTTGCTTCGTATAGGTGGATGTGGAATGAAGAAAATCGGAGCTATGAAAAACATGAAATGCAGGTCATCTTACAATTGACTGGGGTCGGCAAAATGTGAAAAGGATAACAATTGGATGCACCATATTTTCATTTTTCACCTTCTACCAAGTTCTGTTGAGCAAAAATCAAAATGTCTCCATAATTTCCACCTTTCCTATCAGCATGCCCGAAGTTTCCCAATGAAATATTTGCACAAAATAGGGATAACACTAAACATTTTTCACCCCTCAACCATGACTCGTATCCAGTAGAAAACGTGCTATTAGGAGAAAAATAAGCCTTTATTGACCCTACTGACCGTGAAAGCAAGACCACAAAAAAAAAAAAAATGTCATTAACAATGTTGATGTGTGAACTTTACCTCACCAGAGCTAGGTAGGTCAGCCCCATTGCCACTCTCCAACTGATATGTGAAATTGAAGTCATGTTGTTGAGCAGGGGACTGGAAAATGGTGCATCCATCTCTAACCACAATGAATCCACTATCGCCCAAATTAATAGCATGTAGTCCCTGGATCAAGAAACCAACAACCAAAAATGAAAATAAATCAGTTGATGTCACATTTTCTTCTTATACCAGCTCAAAAAGGTAACCCACCGAATTTACTAGTAACAATAATTTTACTAGCTGCAAACGAGGTGTGAGCTTCAGTCCATCAAGAGGCAGATAAAACACGAATTAGACATTATACATAAGAACTTGAGACTTAAGAACTGTTTAGACAATATTTAAGGGTAAGTATCTACACACATGATCATATGTATGCCATTTTTTAAGAGCAGAAGGACAACAAATAATGAAGAAGAAGCTGGTAGAACTCCCAGCAAGCTTTAAGTCCATTTATAAGCTGAAGCAATTTATCTTTTGACTTTACAATAGCTTGGTGTGAGACGTGCTCAATATGATAGTCATTGTAATCTTCAACCCCATTTGGTATTGTACGTAAATATTACTTCAAATAGCATGCATTTTTAAACAGAATAACTGTTGGCATGATGCATTATACCAGACAGGTAAAATTGTAGAAAACTTTAATGTTGATGCATACGAGAAGAAAACAAACCACCTAATATTCAGTAGGCATGTAACATCTGTGATGTTTTATTTCACTCACAAGTGGACAAGACTATTTTTCTTTCATAGTTATGAATGTGAACATTGAATACCTTATCAGTAAGGGCAACAATACAAGCTGTTGATGAACCCTTGGCCTTTGTATTTGAGTGAGCCTTCTCTAACACCCTTGTTGGATTAAAAGATCCTTTGGGCTCCTCTTGAATTGCTCTCACTGAATTGGATATAAGTTCCCGGGAAAACAGTCCTGCATTAACACCAACATCTGCCCAGCCACCTACACCATCAGCAACACCGATTGCTTGTTCATCTGTGCAAATAAAATGAGCATCCTCTCCTCCTGTATCCTCCTTATCTGGATGCGGTAGGTAACAAGATCCTGACAACATCTTCAAGTTCTTGCCACCAACAGTAGTTCTGAAATTAACAAAACACATTCTTCTAGATAAGTATCACCCGTGAGAAATATAGAATAACTTGTTGGAATTTTAGGATTTTAAATATATATTTCTTATATGGGATTTTTTTCTTATATTTTGTTTATGTACATTTTCAAGAGTAAAAATATAAAAAAATATTAAATATTAACAATATTTCAGTCTTAATTACCTAAATTAAAATAATAATAATTTTTTTTATTTTAAATAATATTTTAAAAATTGAAATATAATAAAATTTCTTAATACCTAATTTAAATAAAAGATAATAAAATATATATTCCCTGTGTAATGTTCTACTAACAATCTATTTGTGAAAAAGTAAAACTGGACTATTACTATTACTATGCTTCATTCAATTCCAAAACTGGACTATTACTATGCTTCATTCATTGGAATTGAAATTGGCATCAAATACCAAATTATATTATTTGAAAGCAAATCATGCAAAAACAGAATTCAAAATATCAAGAACATGATCACATACAGGTCATGTGAAAAAGAGGAATTTGCAAGCTGTTCATCAGGAGGGCTGCCATCAAAAGAGACAGCATGTGCAACCCCAGCTGAGGGGCAAGCCGAAGAGGAGGTAGAGAAATTCTTGAACCATGATCCATGAAGCAAACTGGAATCCCGGATCCTCCAATTAGCATCGAATGTAGTCATACCAAAACTCAAAGGTTGTGGTCTCCGTAGATTCACACTACCCCTTAGGCAACTTTTAAGACTTCTGTCTATGAAGTAGACAACAGCAGGCTTTGTGAAGTCTAGCACACTACCACAACCTGAGATTAAACCATCAACATCCCCCAGCACAGCATTGGAATGTGAAACATTAACCATTGATTTTATGTTTAGCATGTGGCTTGAAGAGCAATGAATTGAACCGGGCAAAAAGGAAGCTGAATACAGTGAACAAACAGACAAGCCTGAACTTCTATACAAGGATTGCGGCACTCCTTGTTGCCGATTTAATGCTTCCCGAATGCGACAGTAAATGGTAGCATTCGGCCTTGAGAAAATGCCAGGCATCATCTCAATCCCTTACGAAAAATACCCTTGATTCAGTTTCCCCCTTGAAGAAGAACGTGAATCCTTGCGTGTGATTTGAATTAAAAATAGCATTCCTTTTTTACCCCCCCACCAAATCTTGCTTCTGAGGAAATGAAACCGCACCCAGATTCTGAAATATTGAAATTTGAACAAATATTAACTTCATGGAAATAAGCAGCCGACCATATGTAAAGGGCAAAATCAATTCGATAGAGACAAAGGAAAAAAACCGAAAACTGCATAAGAATTGTAAATAGTAAGCTTGAAGAATTAACATGCTTCTTACAGGCTATGGAAGCGCGTAATTTATGTCGAAAATTTTCGAAGCTTTTTTAGTCTTCGGTTGTGGGTGTGTGTCACTTGCGCCCAGCTCCACCAAAACCTAAAAAGCGTGGGGACACAGTTTTAAGTTGAACGCTATCAAATTCCACTCTCTCTCTCTCTTCCCTTGTCTCCTATTTCTTCTCTGTTTTTTTTTTTATCTCCCCATTCTTAAACTTTTTTTTATTCCCAAATTTTTTTGAAAATGCATATTTCATAATTAATGGTATATGAAAATTTTCTGCTTATTTCCTTTTTGATAAATATTAAATACTTCATAATTTTTCTAAAATAAACATAAACATGTTACAGTTACTAAAAAAATACTTTAAAAACAGTGAAAAAATAGATTTTTTTTATATTTTATAACATTCACAACAACAACAAAATCAAGAATTAATTTTTAATGTAATTTTCAAAAGTGTAATTTATAATCACTTAAATTTCTGAAAGTATTAAATTCATTAGAAGGTTAGTAAATATGTGATTTGTCTTTCACTTTATTTTTGTTATAAAAACTCCTTACCTAGTATACTTATTTATTATCGTTACGGTGTAAGAATTTTAGCAGTTTTTAATTATCTACTCTTATCTTAGTATCTGATGATACTTTAATACTTCGAAAGTTTTATTGGAGTCTCACTAAAATAATATTAAATAATTAGACAGTGAAAAAAATATTTAAAAAATCTAACAACTAAATGAAAACGGGAGTATTTTATTTTTAAAAATTAAAATAATTTTTAAAAGTTATTTTTGTTTTGTAAATTTTAAAAAATAATAAAAGTTCAAAACTAATAAAAATAATTTATTTTAGTTTTATATTTTCATAAATAAATTTTAATTTTTCATGGATAATTACATTAAATCATTAATTATCATTATTATAAACTTTTAAAAAAATTAACTTGACATTATTTTTTGTCAAAATAATTAAAAAAATCAATTTATTTAAAAAAATATTTTATAGACTTATCTCTAAAACTGTTGGTAAAATTTTAAAAAGAAAACTAAATTAATGAAGTCCTAAATATAGTATATAAAAGATTTATAATGATAGAAAAAAAAATAAAGACAACTTATACTGTCAAGACTTTTAAAAAGTAATATTTTTAAGAAGCTAATACTAAATTATTCTTGGCTTAATTAATTTTGTCTAACAAATCGATTATTAATAGTTGAGGCATGTTGATTTTATAAATGTGGTATAAAATGACAAAAATATTTATTTATTAGTCATTCATTTAGTGTAGTTATACGTAAATTCATCCAATTTATCAATTATAAAAAGAAAAGAAAATATTTAAATTCATTTATTTAATTTTCTGGATGTTTAATTTATCATCCTATCAATACTTATCAAAATTAATCTAACTATTTATTTTATCAAAAAATACAGTTTTAAATTTTTTATATATTTTATGGATAGATTGGATATCTATTTATAAAAGTTTATAAAAAAATAGATTAGATTTGATTTGATTTGTGTTGAATAAAACAATTTTGAATAGATTAAAATGGATTCATAAATTTATTTTATTTTAGTCCATTAGAATCAAAGATGAAATTGATTTGATATTGTATACCTGCAAGTGACAGTTACATTGTATGAAGATGGACTTGATTTGCATTATTGAGCGTTAAAGTTTGAACGTGAATTTGCAACGGGCCCTAACTTGAGAGAACAACATGACCTATTGGCATTGAAAAAGAAATTGTATATTGAAAGACATAATGAAGAGGTGAAAAGCATGTGTTGTTGAAAGAGGCCAAGAGAGGTAAAAAGGAATGATAGAGTGTCGTTTTTAATGGGAAACAGGAATGGTAAAGAAAACGACAATGTAATGTAAAATCAAAACAGGTTCGGCGTTGAACATCGCCAAACCCCGTGCGTCTGTGTCATTTTGACAAAAAGTAGAATTTATTGCAAAAGTGTCTTCACATCTTCTATTTATTGCTCATCTGCAAATTCTTTTCTTTTAATTCTTTCTTTACTTTGTTCCTTTTTTAATTCCCAGGAATTTACGCCATTGGATTACATCCAAGGTGCCAGAATAACGTGGAATTTGATTAATGGGAAAAATTTTGAACTTCAATGGAATACACTTCTTTACAACATAATGACAATGCATGTTCCTCATAAACATTCAACCAACCATTTACTGCTAACAGTAGAAGAAAAATCAAAGTTTCCTGATTTATGTCTACATCTACAGCTATGGACCAAACAAATCATCCAACATGGGAGTTAATTCACAGCTTGATCAATTCAAAACTGCAGATGGCGCTTAGATGCAGTCTTTCAAATTCACCATTCTCGCTACAACCCAATATCAATTTCGACCTTCTGCACAACACCTTAATTCACCAAATCCAGTGGTCCAGAGCAAACATAATATTGTAATCCGTGCCATTACTCATGGAATGAAGGCTCTCCGTGCCTTTTCTTTAATATAATAATAAATATACATTCTTTTCCGCTCACATTAGTTGCATCAGATAATTCAAAACGACCCTTTAAGAGCGCATGGCCTGTGGCACTGCTCAATATGAGCATACTATATCTTACTAATCCTCCCCCGAATTGAACTGCAACTTCACATTGTTCAAGTGACCAAACAAGTCTGTACAAACCAGAACTTCTCACCCTGAAAAATATAGTCCTTGGCTCCTTGCACCCAAAATATCAAGTACTCCTCCCAATATCTTTGCTAGGGAATTCTGCACTACCAAAGGATGCTGCTGCTGCTGCTGCAGCAGTAACATCCAGACTGCCACCAATTGAGGTGATGAGAGCAGATAAGCCTCCACCGTGGGTGCCCCCGGCAGCCATCCCCAGCCCGAGAAAATCAAGGGTGGTCTGTTTTGGACCAAACATAGAGGGAGTCCCCATCATTAACTCCTTTAGTCCAGAGCTGCTGTCGCAGGGAAGCCCTAGTCCAAGACCTGAAGGAACTGAGGCACCCTCTGGTTCCCCTGGTTGCTGACCCCATTGCAAACTATCTTGCTGACCTGATGAGGTTGACGCAGATGATACTATGCCTAATCCACGAAGAAAAGAGGCATTTGTGGCAGCTGCACCCATCTGGGCGGCTTTCTGTAGCAAAGCAGTAGCAGACATGGCTGGCTGTGGCAGTGGGGCATATTGACGGCGCTCCTGCACTCCTGTCCCAAAAATGGATGCTCCGTGATTGGTAGCAAGGCACAGAGAAATGGGCTCCGAAGATGATGGTCTTGAGAGGTCTGCAGCATGATCTGGATGCCCCATGGCCCTGATTAGGTCAGTGAATGCTGGTGTTTGAGATTGGAGGCTTGCAGTTGCGGATGCTGTTGATGAAGCAAACAAGCTTGCAAATACACTGCTGCTAGCACCACCATTGCTGTTGCTTGTTGAGCTGCTGGTGCTGGTACTGGTGCTGCTACAGCTTCCACTGACAGCAGGATTGGCCTGCGGTTCTTCTATGACTTGTGGGGCATTTTCTAGCAACTCTGAAAGATCAAAACAAGGGAAATAGTAGTAGTAGTAGTAATATTAATAATAAGAATGATATTACTATTGACAATAATTAAGGAGTGAAGCCATTAACTGCATAGACTTGTAAAGTTTGTGTCTTTACTTTTATGTTAAAGTTGGAAAGAAAGGAACAAATAATGGTTTCCTATCTCAAATCCACTCCCCCTTCCACGTCCCGAAAAACAAAGCTTTTCTTTCTCTTTTTAGCTTTTGAATCTTTTGAGTTTCTTTGTGCACAATTGCATAGTTTACATCCACAGTTCCAAAGAACACCTTTTTCACGGTTTATTTTTATACTTCCATTACTTAATTACTTTCATAATTTTATTACTTAATTAGCTCTCCGAATCCCATTTCACTTGCTCTGATGTTATGAATGTATACAAACACCCAACACAGATGAAAACAAATGACGATAGCAGACAAAAACCAGTAAGCTCCAAGATCACAGAGAGAGAGGAAAAAAAAAAACACCACTCACAAAAACAACAAAATGCTTTATAAGTCTAGTTTTAACCATATCAAACACGACAAAAGAAAAGACCGAGTAGATTTCAATGCTTTCTAGATTCGGATATTATCTACCTGGATTTTGTGTCTGCAAAGTAGACGACGATACAACTACACTGTTTGACTGAGAACTAGCCGTAGGTGCAGCTGGCGGTGGAGGAGGAGCCGCCAACGCCGCCGCCGCCGGAGGCGATGAATCACCGGTCACAGCTTTCGAATCTGACTCGGAACTAGCCTTTGCAACAGTCTGAGGCTGAGATCTCGCACTTTCCTCAGCCAACGCATCACAAAAAGCCCTATGCGTGATGAAGCTATCCCTCCTTCAAAAAGAACAAAATTTTCACAAACCACAAATCCCCAAATAAAAACTTTGGTAACAGTATCACAAAGAGTGAAAGGCAAAGGAGTTAAAAACCTTGAGAAGAGAGTGCCACAATCGCATTTATACTCTCGGGTACCGCAAATCTTGGAGTGAGCCTTCCAATCGGATTGAACCGCGTATTTCTTGGAGCACTTGTCGCATTTCCACTTCTTCTCGCCGTGTTTTCTGCAGAAGTGCTTCTTAATCCCCGTGAGATCCCCCAACGCTCTGGAAGGATCGTGGTGAACGCACGTCGGTTCGGGACACACGTACACCCTCTTCCTCACCTCCTTGCTTGACCTCTGTCTCAGCTTCCACGGAAGATTGTGACCCCTCCGATGAAGCTGAAGGTTCTGGTCCCTCTGAAACCCCTTGTTGCATATTTCACACACGAACCGGTTCGTCGCCATCAGGGTCTTCGGAGACAGAGCAATCACCTCCGCATCCGGATCTGAATAACCCCACAAACAACAAAATAAGAAAACAACACAACATGATGATGCTTGATGAAATCTTTTGTTGTACCTGGCATTCCTGGAAGGTTTCGCTTCTTCTTTGTAGTGGGTTTTGGGGGCACTGTCTGATTGCCAGAGGAAGACACGCTAGCTTCCCCTGAAGCTGTGGAAACATTGTCCAAGTCAACCGGCATGGGAACCTTAATCAGCTGGAGGATTTCTCAGAGGGAAAAAACTCTAAAGGGCATTCACCCTCACAGAAAGTTTCGGTTTTTGATCGTTTTTCTTATACGTGTTCCTTTTTTTCCTCTAGGGTTTCCGCTCTCCTTTGCTCTATCTACCGGTCAACCTGCAATCTTTCTTTTTATTCTCCTTTTTCTCACTTACCCACCACCTACCGGCTCTGATGATGGGGTCTCTGACCCAAATTCACGTTAATCGAAGAACTCAAATGATTAGACCCAATAGGGTAGCTCCTTGAACAAAGGTATCCTGCTAGTTAAGTTGGATCCAACAAACAACGCAGAAATTAAGGTTTGATTTTTGGGAAAGAAAGAGTGTAGCAGGTGGCAGCGCCCCAGCAAGAAGAAAAAAGGCCGAAGCAGAGGCAGAAGGTCCTCGATCTCGTTGGTTCTTCTCTTGGTTGTTTCCAAAGATGTAACTTTTGTCATCAGAAAATGAGGTGATAAATGGGAAAGTCGCAGGGCAATAAAAATTAGAAGATGTTAAGTATGATTAATTAGTAGTAATGGAGGGGGTTGTGTGAGAAAGGTGATGTCAGAGTTTTTTTTTTTCTTAGGTCGTGCGTGGAGATTAGATAAATTGTAGTCTAACAGTACATGTACAAATACAATACAGGTATACTAAAATATGAAAGAAAAAAATAATAAAAAATAAAAGTGTGTTTGTTGTGTGGAGGAGTGAAACTTTGCGCGTTGAAGTTGGTACGTTGAATGAAGTTGTGCAAGAATGGTTGAATTTGCAATGGGGAGTACACAACACAGTCTTGGACACATGGAAGAGAGGGTTTACTCCAATGTTTGTCGTTTTGTGATTTGTCTGAATGCGAATTCCGTAAGAACCGACAACGATTGGTCATCAGAGTTTTGGGAAACCAATAAATAAAACTACTTCTTTTTAAACATTTACTGGAACATAAAATTATAATAAAATAAAATAATTTATCCAGACTATATACTAAATTTATAAATTAACTGAATAAAAACAATTCAGAAATGTAAAAATGAAACGTAACAAAATATTATAAATCGTTTTTAATAAACATTCAATTCATATCTTCTATTTGTATAAGAACTGGTAGGTAGGATATTTAAAATCAAACCGATTTAAAAATAAACTACAGATCAGTCAAATCATATTTTTAGATTTATTATTTTTAAAATCACATAAATTATTCAATTTTTAAATTAAAATTTTAAAGAAATAGAAATATAAAAAATATAATATGTATTTAAAATTAATCATCAATTAATATAAATATGTAATTATAGTTCTTGAAATTTATTTTGTAGTTTATTTCAATTGTTTATTATATATATATTATGAATTTTTTATCACAAAATACTTTTTTAAGAAAATATTTTACAATTTTTTTATAAAACTTTATTTAACAAATTATAGAAATAATAATTATAAAATTAATTTAAATCAAATTATAAATATTAAATTTTATATTAAATAAAAATCAAATTAAATCAAACTTCGTATGTTAAGGTTCCAACATAAAACCAATTGGCGATATGTGGAGTAGCTCTAACATATATTTAAACCATAACAAATTATATGAGGTAGGCGATGTGTGACTTTCAACACACCCCCTCCAACGAAGTCTACTGGCAAAGGGTACTTTAGACCCAACTAAAGGGTAACTTTTGGTCCATGACAATAACCGCTTGCAAAGGGTACTTTAGACCCAACTAAAGGGTAACTTTTGATCCATGACAATAACCGCTGGCAAAGGGTACTTTAGACCCAACTAAAAGGCAACTTTTGATTTATGACAATAACCGGAAATGTATTAGGTTTTGACTCTGATACCATGTTAAGGTTCTAACATAAAACCAGTTGACAATATGTAGATTAGCCTAACATATATTTAAACCAGTATCAAATGATATGAGGTAAGCGATGAGGAGTTTCACCCATGTATAATAGGATATGCAAATATGTCATTAATGTTATGACTTTTTCTTATATTAATTATTTTTGGGAGAAATAAAATGTTGAATTTGTAAAAAAAATATATTATTTTCATCAAATATACTCGATCCATAGTCAGGTTTTACAATTAAATTTTTATAATCATATGGATATATTAATTAATATTTTTTGAATAAAAATTCATATATTTGATTTATTGTTAAAAAAACTATCTGTTGATTGAAATATTTTTAATTAAAGCATACTTAGGAAACTTTTTCTAAGAGTATTTTCCTTTAAAGAAAATATTAATCAATGTCTAATTAGACATTAATTATAAATATCATACTTGATTTAAAATTTGGTTTTTCAAGTAATAAAGTTCTTTTTTCTAAATGTAATCTTCTTGGTAACTACAATTAGTTCGTACGGATAAATTAATTCATTGAATCTTGTTATAAAATAAATTTAAAAATAAAAGTATTTAAAAATAAATGAAAATTCTCAAAAACGATTTGAAATAAAATATGTTTTATAAAATAATTTTTTTATTCAGAATTAATTTCACCAACACTGATTTAAACATACACACTATATTTTTTAATTTTTTCTACGTAATTCTTCTTTCATTCTTTTGTATAATTATAGAAACTAAATGAGTAAACATGTATTACTAGAAAAATTCCAAAACCAAGGTGGAATTCATAGAAAGCAAACTAATATTGGAGTGTGTAACATATATTAACAAATTACTTTATTAAGAAAAAAAAACACCATTACCTGTACCTGCAAATATTAAAGAGGTTTAAATTTAAGAATGGTCCATAATTTAAAGAGCTTACCTTCTTATTTAAAGAAGAAGAAAAAAAAGTCAAATAACTCTATCTATGATGGAATTGAAATTTCAGTTTATTTTGACCACTGCACAGTTGAATCAATCTTCATTGCTTCCTCCTGTTTTTGGGGCATACCATAACTTGAAATTAGTCACTGAATTTAAAAACAAAAGTTTATTTTTTTATTCTAATTTTAGATTTTTTATAAGGTAAAATTTTTAGTTCGGATTCAAGTATGTAAACAAAATGAAAATTATTCAAAACTTAAAATGTTGAAAAAAGTTGTGGTGCCCACTCATAAAAGACGTAGAAGAGATGAATTTGTGTTCCTCCATGGTTGTGCAGTGTGTACACAGTTCCATGTTTATGACCATTGGGCATAGCTGTCACCACATTAAATCAATATCTAATAATAATAATAATATATTATCATTAATCTCTATTTTAATCATAAAATTTAAGTTTTGAATTTTATTATTGTTTCGTAAAGTAGTGAGTTTAAGATAATTTAAGAGTGGGAGTACAATCTTTTTTTATTTATTTATTTATTTACGAAAACGTTTTTTAAAAATAAAATAGTAATAAATAAACGATAACATAAAAATTCACCGTATCGTTATTATTATAATAGATATGAATTTTTTTAATAAGATAAATTATTAAAGTCAATTTATAAATAATATAAATTTTTTATATATTTTTTGAAATATATTCTTAATTTATATATTTTTTATTTTTTATTAATTAATAATTTTTATTAAATAAGTTAAAAATATTATTATAATTATATGTTAATTTTTTTAATTATATATAATTTTAAATTTAATTAGCAAATATTTATAATTTAAATTATAAAATTATAATATATTTATATATTTTAATAATATAAATAAAAATAAATTTTTAAAATTATTATTTTTTATTTTAATATATAAAAATCAATTCATTTTATCAAATTTAAATAAATTCATGAATCATTCAATCTAATCTTTGTGTGACATTTTGATTTTAATCCTCTAATTATTAAATGCTTATCTCCACTCTCTTTCAATGTTGTATCCACGTATATTTTCCTCTTTTAGTTATTACTTATTGTGATAGGAGATGGCCTGTTATTCCATGTTCCATTATACTACATCAAAAAACTCTTCAATGAACTTAAGAGCTATAAACCCTTGTTTATGTTGTTCTATGTTCAATTATTATCCAGCATTTGCCATTTTTATAAAATTTATTTTTTCAACACACTATTATTAGTTGTACTTTTTAAAAAAAGGACTCGTATATGTTTTTTCAACAATCTCGTATATTTTTTCTTTTGCGCGTAACATCCGTGGCACATATTTGTCAGATTCTGGTCTGCAGAGTGAATACAGAACAACACGTTTCATCTTTTGCAATTAGTTACAGTTTAATGTCTAATTATGTTTATATGTCATCTTAAATTTCAAACCATAATTATGTGAAAACTAAAAGTTTTTTTTTTTTGTTTCAGGAGGTTTTTTCAACAATAATTTAGATATTATGTTAATGATAAATAGATCCAATTGATAAATAGTTAATCTGTGGCTATTATATTAATTTTTATAAAAATAAAAATAAGAAGATTGTTAATAAACACTTTCTAATTCATTATTTCCTATATATCCTATTATTAATAAATTTTTATTAAAAACAATAAAATAAAAATAAAAAATCATTAAAAAATAGGATAAGAAAATTCCTATAAAATTAATTAATATTATCCATGAAAAAAAATCATGAATTAAATAAAGAAAGTTATGAAAATTGCTGTTTATTTATAAAAAAATTAAATAAAAATACTCTTAAATCAAACATGCAAATTGTTGACTTTGTTAAAACTGAACTTTATACAAAAATCTTCATAAAAATAAAATTGATTACATTTTTGGTACAATTCAGCTAAGAATCAATGACTACTTTATTGTTCTATTAAACTTCATTTAAGAAATTAAGAAATTAAACTTCATTTTAGGGAAAAGTTATCTACTAATTATTTCCCATGAATTGGTGATGGGAAATAATTTATCATGGCTTTTACTAACATGATAGAATTTTAGATGAGAAACCACCAAACTCATTAGTTATCAATCACTCACTAATATTTTTAAGAAATTGTAATAAAATATATATGACGTATATGATTGGTAAGTCTTACATTGATAGTTATATATTTTAGAAATAATAAAATAGCATATTTTGCTTAGTCTCAAAGTTATACATAATTTTAGTTTTATTATTTTAATATAATAATATACCTTGCAACTTTTAATTAGTAGGATTGTGAAAGTAAAGTCCCACATCTACCACTAGTATCATAAAGAAGATGTACAATAGTGTATCTAATGCATCCAATGTATGGGAGTGAACAATGTTTACTTAATTCTATACATTTATCACAGATGTTGACTTTTTTTTTTTTTTAAAATTAAAACATCTAAAATGTCTTGATTTTTAATTGACTTTAATAATCCAATTCGAGTCTATTATTGATAATTTTTACTGTTGATCGAATGTATAATTTTAGATTATTTGATTTTAAAACATATAGTATTCAAAGATGAAAAAAAAATAATAATTATGTGACACTAACAATTTATTGAAGACTATAATTCGTATAATAATATAAAGAATTTATTATGTTAAAATTTGTCATTTCATTAATTTTACATGTACCTATGTTTTTTTTTTATATTAATGTGAGATTAGATCAAGCACTTTCAAATCGGTTTTATGGTCTTTTTCAAGGCTTACATGAACTCCAAATTCATAGTACTTGGCCTTGTGCCCCATAAAATTTCATGGAAAAGAATAATTATTAAAATTACGCACTGTGATTAACACCTAAGCAAAAGATTAGGAACACGAATGAATATTCATGAGTTGAAAATAAGCAAGATTAGAGATAAGGACGAAGAAGCTTAGGCTTGAAATTTTGGAATACGACCAAAAGGCCGGCACATGTTGAATTTTGTTTTCGATTTCATTTTTCATTTCTCTGCCTGCACTGTGTCCATCATGGTTAGCATTGACTTGGACACCATTTTCTTTTCCAATTCAAACAATGCATTATTTTTGGCATAAATATGGGACCCTTCTTCATTTGTTTTTAGGGTTTTCAACTTTCTCTGTCCACACCCAGGAGGGGACCAATCACTGTCTTTTGAGTCAGCACTCAACATGCATAGCTATATGCACATTTAAGCCCATCTGATACCTTCACAGAGAAATAAATATCCAAATCAAATCGCCCCAATAAAGTCCTTTTACCATATGTGGTGGGTTCGAATTATGCCATCAAACTATTTTTGGAAGAACGAATCATTTATTTATCTTGTGATTTTCATTTTCAAGTTCTTGTGTTTTATCTTGTTTAGGTCCAGAAATTCAAACTGTACATGGAAACTTTGGTGTGGAAATGATCTTTGATGGAGTTCTCCTACCTCAATGATAACGCCTCTTGTTCATTGAGTGTCACATGCCATTAATTGTAATGTTTCTCTCATGCACCACGCCATCGACAATTAGAACCTTTTCCTTGTCACAATTAATACGCGCAAGTTTCTAATATAATTACCACTGTTTATCAAACAATAATGGAATCAATATTTCTTTTAATCTTGAAAATCAACTGAAATTCGAAGCCATAGGGTTGATATGACTAAATGGTATACAGTATATAATCTTTCTGCGGAAGAAAAGAATTAGAATTTAGGACACCAGAAGTTCATTCATTCGCCAACAAAAAAAAGGTGACGCAAAAGTTCCAAATTCCTAGCAGAATCCAAATCACAGTTCATCATACAAAATCACCATTAAAATTAAATTACCTAAGTCAGCCAAAATAAGGTTAACAACAAATTTTACAATTAATTCAGAAAAAGGAGAAAAAGAAAGTTAATGTTAGAATAATAATAATAATTTTTTTAACCATATTTAAAACATATACACGTATTATATAGATAAATAAAATATTATTATTTAATCTAGATATATTTTTTATAAATGTTATTTATTTAACAATATCTTAGACTAAAAAAGTTATGTAGTATTATAAATATGTCATATTTCTAAAATTATTTCATTAAATAAAATAATAAAATGGTATCAAATAATTAGAAGTGCAATTTAAATATATATCATTACAAACAAAATTATTAATTATAATTACTGAATATGTAATTGTCTAAAAATAAGTGATTATCTATCGACAAAAATTATTGAGTGATTGTAAATATTTAAAATATATAAATATGTATAAATATATCAAAATATATAAATAAATTTATATTTATATATTTTATATTTATATATTTACATTGATATACATTTTTTGTATAAATATAATTTATTTATAAGTTATTATCTAAAAATTGTAGTAATTTAATAATTAAAGTATCAATCTCCAATTTTAAGATACATTCAAATGGGAGAAAAGACCTTTGAATAAATATAAATAATAATTCAAAATATAATAAAAAATAATTTATTGGCAAATTATTCAAATCCGTGCGTAATATTTACTAAAATCACAATATATATATATATATATATATATATATAAATTATAATAAAAGATATACATTTTTAATAAAATAAAGTATTAATATATTTAGTCTAAATTAGTTAAAATATAAAATTTGCTTGAAATAAAAAGACATGTGAAAAAATAATTAATAAAGCTTAAAAGATATAAAACATCAATAACTTAAAACCTGGATGATTTTAGAATGAGAGTAACTCTGTATTTTACCACTTCATTTATACTTTTCTTTGTTTTAGTTTCTGCGATGGCAAGTTCAGAAGGTGATAACAGGTCAATGACCACTTCATTACATTAGAAGTTCCATCCCCACCATATAGATGGATATGGATAAGAGTGGAGAATTTGGACGGTGAATGTAACCACCCTTTATAGAAGCTCGCATATCTGACATAAAACATTTGAAAAAGGAAAATTCCATCATTTTCCTTTGTGAGATGCGATGGCGACTGTAGGTGGCCACAGTTACAACTTTCAACACTGGCCCCCCCTTTGTAATCATGCTTCACCTCTTGCTACCTCTACCACCACCAGTATATTCTTCACACTCAAGCCAAACTGAAGATCAATCTGATCCATGTTCTTTTCTTTTTTCTTTATTTTCTACCACCTGTTGCAACTTGGTTTAGGCCAGGGGAAGAAAAAGCATGGGATGCAGATAACTTTCACGTTTGATTAGACACATGAAAATTCAGTTTCAGCGGATCGATCAATTGTTTTCAAAGAAATGACAGTCTTTTTACAGGGTAATGTCCAAGCAGCATTAACAAACAAACAGTAAGTCACACTCCTTCTTTGCACTTGCAGTGGTCATCAGTAAGTCAAATAAGGGTGATTTGGTTTCATCTTTTCATTCATTTTAGATCAACTACATATATTTTCCTAAAAACCAACTTTACCGGTATCACAAAAGGTATATATTTTCAACAGTGATTATTTGGATTTAAAACATGGAACTGTAGTATTTTTATTTTTTTTGGTATATGCTTCTAGTTTCTATAGTTTACTAAATATGTAGGGAAGATTGACATGGAAGTGAAGGTTTCCGAAGCAAAAAAAAGAGTTAAGAGGTACAGAAAGTTGATAGTGGCTGGTGTGTCCTGAAAGAGGCTCAAACGTCAAAGGCATAGTGATGAAAGATACGATCACTTTTTAGTCCCATTCTAGTAGCAATGATAAGTTCTTTTACAATGCTAAAACTAAATAAGAAATCCCAATAGGAAATCAGGAACCTGATTGAACCAGAAAGTTAAACCAAATAGTAGTCGTTCACGAGTTACAACTTTTGCTTTTACCTTTTATAATGGTTGGGGACCCAGCTGATTTTGGGGCCTCTTGATATGATAATAAACATCAGTAAAATCAAATAGCAATCATCATGGATGGACAAACGTTTTCATGAGAGGCAGACAGCTAAAGAGTCTGAACCCATTTATAATTCCTTTACAAAAGTTACCCTGCTATATAGCTCACTAAGTTTCATCCTAGATATGAATGACATGTCACTGTTTAAATATAACTCTTTGTTACTGTTGCTGAGGCTTTTTGAACATTGTGAATATGAAAATCTTCACTTTTTTCATAATGGATTCAATCTGCTGTAAATAGGTCAGGACAAATCTAAGAATTTGTAAGTTGTCAGGTAAAGTGAACTTATCTACTCAATGTTAATTTTCAACCATAATAAGTTGAGAGAAATTAGTTGAAACATTATGAACTTTCATCAAAAGGCTGAGTAGACCTGTGCATGGATTATAGCCATCTCATGTAAAAGATCAAATTACCTTGGTTTTTTCCATTGTTAGTGCTCTCCCAGTTTTCAACTTGCAGCCTCAACTATCTCGGCCTTCTTCAGCTTGGCTGGGTCCACTATCAAGTACTCTCTGCAAAGACCAGCACATCTAATAAGGGGATGTGCTACTTGTTTTTTAAATTCTTTGACCTTGACCTTGACCTCCCAGGGAGTGAAAACAATGTACCTTTTCCTTTTAGGGTGGGGTGGGGAAGAGAAAAAACAACCTGAATAGATGATCTTGCATGATTTCAACACATAATAACCATGGATATCATACGCAATGCAACTTCGTTATGTGGACCATCAAGACTATATGAGCTGCATCCGCAGCAATTATAGAATCTCCCTTTGAAAGCATAATTTTGGAAACTGCAATTTCGTTCAATCCTTGGCATATCATTTGGAAGCAGCCAATATAATTAGAAGCAGCATAACTGTCACCCAAACAAGAAGATAAAAATGTAGGATTTTGGTTAAATTCACTATAAGGGAATGTCAATTGGTAGAGAGATTTTCCCCCTTGAGCAATTTCCAGCACCCTGACTATAACGAACAAAGTGGCGAGAAAGATGCATAACCCTGATATGAATTTTCAAGGCCTGTTATTAGTGGAAAAGATTGCTGATGGCATACCAATTTAACCCAAACTAGTCCAAATAACTAACTGCCAAAGAAATAATTTCAGAGAACAACTCGAGAAGACTTTTGGCAAGGTCACCACAAAAATTCACATCAGAACCTGAACTGTTAAATTCTTGAAAAATAATAGTAGGGCTTGTTGTCATGCCAAACTTTCCACACCACACCACCATGAGGAATTGCAATGGACATTTTGCAGTCCCTAGTCCCCACTCTAACATTGCACGACAAGCAGGAAGCCTAGAAGTCCCTCCAAATTAAAGAGTCTTCAGAACAAATTGCTTTAATACCTTTTTCTTTTCGGTGTAGAAGTGCTTAACAGCTCTGAAACGAAGAAGTGGACAACTCTATCATAAAGAGCTCTGTTGGACATGTTATATAAAGTAGCTCACAGAAATACGATTCACAATAGAAGAATACGTCATTATTTGATCTTTGTAGCCAGCCCCACCTCGAAGGAGTAGTTTCAGTGGTGCTGTTATATTATTTGGCGTAGGTGTGACCACCGTTCAGAAAATTTAGATCAAGTTCGGTCCTATCCCCTGCCTATGATCCATATCCTCTTGACACAAAATCAAGTTAACTTTTTATTTTGTCAATAATATTTATGTATATTCATCAATCTAACTCTTTAAAATTTGTATTTTGTAATATACAGTACTTTTAAAAATGTAATATTATTCAATCATCACATGGTTGAATTAATGAACTTCAAAATCAAATCCTAATCAGTTCAATAATCAATCTAATCTTGATGACATAGGTGGTGACATGTGCATCACCACCCAAATCCGCTATTTCCTTGTTATTTCACTCTATATTAACACACAGTCACATATACATTCAGAGAGACATGGAAACAACAAATCCTTAATAAACAATTTGACAGAATACTATAATAAACTGAAAGATTGCAACACACGTGATATAAACTCTTATATATAGAAAGTTCAGAAATAACTTAACAGTTAAAACAATAATAAAGAGGTTGAGTAATATATATATATATATATATATATATATATATATATATATATATATATATAATTATTCCGATCCATATTTGTTATCATAATATTATTAGAATTAATTATTTTGTTAGAAGTATATTTTTTTTTAATTCTGATAAAATAGACTCATCAGTATATTAAAATACAGTCCCAATTGATGAATAAGAAATTAGATAGAAATAGAGTAAGATTCTGTTCTCGATCTCGCGTGTTCCTTCTGAGAATTAAAAATATCGCAAACTCATATATTAGTTTCAAGTTAAAAATAATATTATCTATTTAAAATATCTTTCCGTCGTAATCAAAATCATAAAAAAAAAAAAAACTAAGAACAAGCGTACGAAGAAAGATGAAGAATGAAACGGCCCAATCCAGTTTATTTATCATATAATGTTAAAAATATTCACCTGGTCCAGCTTATCATGGATTTGTAAGTAAAACGGTCCTTTAAAGTATTTACTTAAAAAAAAATATTTCATTACGATTTTAACTTTAAATGATATTTCGGTGAATTAAAACGAAAGGACTGATAATAAATTATTTTTATCGATTTTTTAAAAGATACTAGACTTTTGAATATTTACTAAAAACTTTGTATAACACTGCAAAATCCATCAAGTATCCCATAAAACCTAGAAACCCCATTTTATTAACATATTCGGTGAAACGAGTTAAATTTTGGGTAATCATAATTATTGTTTCATTTGATTTATTGGGCTGTGAATATTTTTGTATACAATCTGAGCGCATACTCTGCATGTCCACAACCTTTCATAAAGGGTTGCATAAAAAAACACATTTTCCTCGAATATCAACTGTGTACTCCTGTTAATTACATTCTACAACTCCACGTGGCAGTAATATTTTGTCATTACACTCCATCAAGAGTTAAACTTATAATAAAATAATATAATAGTGTTTATCAACTTTTTATGAGTGTCAAGTATATTTGGTTTTTAGAGACATTTACTTTTTAATTGTTTATTTATTTATCAAATTAAAATCAAAATTTTATTTCAAAAAAATGAGTTTAGTTTCGTTTACATCAACATAATTTTGATAAACTAGTAAGTGTTTTGTTACCCCATTATTTTTATTTTTTTACAATTTAAACTATAATATAAAAAATATAGAGAACAAATTATAGAAATATATAAATAGCATAATTAAATATGAAAAATGATAAACATTTCCATCTTTATATGAACACTTTTTTATGAGTATAATTATAAAGAAATAATTAAAGAATTATCTTAGAAACTTAGAGGTGAATTTTTACACAAGACTTAGAGATAATCAGAATATAGTTTTATGGTTTTCTTAATAATTTTTTTAATAAATAATTAAACCGCATTTAGTATAACTATAATTTTTCCAGCTCACTAAACTAAAGATTATTTTGATTTGTGGTAAGATGTCTCTTATTTTAATAAATATATCGTTTTCAAAATGCATGAGTGTATAGTGAAATAATGTTCAATATTTTCCCTATGCACAAAACATGGTTATCTCTAAATAAATCTAATTCAGAATATATATATATATATATATATATATATATATATGTATATATAATTTTAAAAAAATACAAATGAATATACATAAGAAATCTTTTTAGCTCTTTGATTAAACAAAAAATTAAGAATATTATAACTAGCCGAAAGTTGATCTAAGACATATTTTTCAATTGAAAAGTAGTTACTGAAAAAAAAAACTGGAAAGAATATAAAAGCATCTTATAAGACATTCTCACTTAAATAATATTTGATATCTCATGTGATTTTAAGTCACTATTTACTTTTCAATGGATAGTTTTTATAATCACTTATAGTTTTTTTATAAATTTTTTATCTATCTTTTACTTGACAACTTAAAAATAACTTAATTATTAATATAATATTTTAATTTAAAATAATGATAAATTTATCGGAATTTTTAATTTTTTATAAAGAATAATTTATTTTAATTTTTTTTGTAAAATTAATTTCTTTTAGAAAATTTATAAGATCAAAATTAAACTATTTATAAAAATAGAAAAATATTTAACACAAGTATTATATATATATAATTATTGTTGTTTTATAAATATAAATAAAAATATTTTAATTTTTTTCTATTCTTATTCAAAGTTAACCTTAAAAATATCTTAATTGAAATTTTATTTTTTCAGATAATTGAGAATATTTAGGAAAAAAAATTATGTGATATATACATATAATATTATTTCCCATCTTTCTGGTTAAACAACATTGTTAACCTTTTGAGAATTCTTATTATCACATATATCAATTCCAATATATTTTTTTATAAGATATATGTTATTTTATATTGATTATAATATATATATATATATATATATATATATATATATATTTTTTTTTTTCTGTTAAGTAACGAGTAAAACAATTTTATGCTCCAATATAACTAATATTTTATACAAAATAGTAATAAATTACATTCTTTAAAAAGAAGTATATTATTTTTTCTGATGGTTTATGAACTTTACTGGGTGAATATAAGTTAGTAGTTAGTTTTCCAATAAAAGAAGGTAATTATGAAGTTCCATAAGATTGCCATACTTCTAATGACGTTGAAGAGTCATTCTGAAAAGTATTAAAAAGAATCAGAGTTAAAGAAAGTTCCTTATCATTAAAACGCAAATGAAAACAATATACTCTTAACCTTTATAAGAGTGAAACAACAATTGCATATAATTGGCTATTCTTAACCTTTTTCCAAATTAGAGTCCCTCTCTCTATATAACCATCATCACTTGAATTCTTTTGTAATCACACAAGCAAGATTCAAAAATGTGTGCAAAAGAAGAAAATGGAGAGTGGGAAATGCCCAAGGAAAATTGTAATGGTGAAAATGGGGGCACTCCTCATAGGGTCAACAAGTATGCTTGTGCTTGTGTCATGGCTGCCACTATTATCTCTGGTATATTTGGTTATGGTGAGTCCCTTATTCTCATCTCATCACATATATAATTGCTGCTGTAATAACTATATACCTCTTGAGTTTTCGATTTGGAATACTTCCAAATGTAATTTTCAGTTATTAGAACAAGAGGTTTTATTTACCTAATATTATTCATAATATTAAAAATTATTTAGGTTTAATTTAATTCATCTTAATTATTATTAGATTACAAAAAGAAGTAAAAAAAAAAGTCTCTAACTCTTTTTTGGAGTGAATAAATTCCTTTACCATTATATATGAATTAGTTGTGAGATTTGAATTTTTTTCCAATATACTCTTCAACTCAAGTAGTGTTATGCTCATGATGCAGATAAAATCACCGGTAATTTTTTTAACGAATTAATGATAAATTCTGATATAATTTTAGAGAGTGAATTTCATTTTTATTTAATCATGCAAAATTAGCTTATAAAATATTAAAAATACTCTTAACTTATATAGTGCAATTATAAAATATGAAAATTACTCTTAACTTATATAGTGCGATTTAAATATATTAATTTATAATTGAGTAAAAACTTTTTTTTTCATAATTTTTACCAAATATAATAAAAATTCTTTTAAAATGAAAGGTATAATATGATAAAGTGAATAAATTTTTACAAATAGATTTTATAATATTGAATTAAATATATCATAATTTTTAATAAGGTATATGATGATAAAAAATAATATAAAATATTAACAAAGGGGTTACGCGTTAATTGAATTTATTTTCATTGATGAATTAATTTTTAATAAGTGTAGATATATATTTTTATACATAAACATTTGAACATAGTTTTTAAGGAGATTTAAAATAATTCAGACAACTATTTAATCAATTGTGTTAGACTCTTAACATAAATGTAAATATTTATATTAATAATTTATAAGTCTATGTTAGATGTTAATATGATATAAACTTAATGAGTATTCATATTAATAATTAATAGATGATTTGCGATATTGTCCCTGATTTTTTGCTAATTACAAAAGGATCCGAGAGGGAATTGAGTCCCAAAATGTTATAGAATTATTATTGTGTCTTTCACCCTTTAAATTAATTTGCCTCCATGATTATAAGTAATAAGTTTCAGAATTTTACAGGCAATACTTGGTAGTACCTAATTCAATGCATCTCCAAAAATGTATTACTTGTGTTTTATGTTTGAATATATATATATATATATATATATATATATATATATATATATATATATATATATATATATATATATATAATCAGGTTAAACAACTTTGTCTGTAGCATTATAGAAATTGTATTATTATCTTTAAATATTTTTCGATTAAATTATATAATATAACTTTAGTCAACGCCCTCCTTTGTTAAGTTTTCACTGTTAGTTTCATGTTTTATTTACATAAAAACAATATATTTCAAAGAAACCTTCTCACTGTAGATAATTATTGTTATACAAACATATTAACCAGGTTAACATTAATGAAATGTTTCTGGTGCATTCTTTTTTTGACCAAAAAGAAAAGAGGTTGCTTTCTCAGCCAAATCAAGCAAGTAAAATAATATATAAGCAATAATTTTAATTTGCAGTATCGGGAGTGATGGCTGGAGCACTATTATTCATAAAGGAAGAACTTCTAATCAGTGACCTTCAAGTTGAGCTCTTGGCAGGAATCTTAAATGTGTGTGCACTACCAGGATGCACGGTTGCAGGAAGAACATCTGATTATCTTGGTCGTCGTTACACCATCATTCTAGCTTCTGTTATCTTCTTATCGGGTTCCATTTTAATGGGCTATGGTTCATCCTATTTAATCTTAATCATTGGAAGAAGCATTGTTGGATTTGGTGTGGGTTTTGCGTTAATCATAGCACCAATTTACAGTGCAGAGATTTCATCCCCTTCCTATAGAGGCTTTCTCACTTCTCTCCCAGACGTTACCCTCAACTTTGGATTCTTGCTTGGCTATGTCTCGAACTACTTTCTTGGAAAATTATCCTTGAAACTTGGATGGAGAACCATGCTGGTTGTTCCTGCAATTCCTTCACTTGTCCTTGTCATTCTCATGTTAAAATTAGTAGAGTCTCCGAGGTGGTTGGTCATGCAAGGACGTGTAGGTGAGGCAAAGAAAGTGCTTTTACTAGTCTCTAATACAAAGGAAGAAGCTGAACAACGGTTGAAGGAAATAAAAGTTGCAGCTGGGATTGATGAAAAGTGCACCCAAGACATTGTGGAGGTTCCAAAGAAAACTCGCAGCGGTGCAGGAGCTCTTAAGGAACTGTTTTGGAAACCTTCACCACCCGTGCGTAGGATTCTAATTGCTGCTATTGGAGTTCATGTGTTCCAACAAATATGTGGAATCGAGGGTATTTTGGTATTTAGTCCAAGGGTGTTTGAGAAAACAGGAATCATAGGCAAGAGCAATCTCCTTCTAGCAACAGTTGGCATAGGAATTAGCCAAGCTGTGTTTACATTCATATCAGCTTTCTTGTTGGACAGAGTTGGTAGGAGGATTCTGTTGTTGATTAGTGCAGGAGGCGTGGTTGTGACACTGTTAGGCTTGGGTGTTTGCATGACTATGTTGGAGCATTCAAAAGAAAAACAATTATGGGCAATAAGTTTTATCATTGTCTTTACGTACATCTGTGTAGCTTTTGTAGCTATTGGTATTGGACCTGTGACATGGGTGTATAGTTCTGAGATTTTTCCCCTCAGATTAAGAGCACAAGGTCTTGGTGTTGGTGTGACTGTGAATAGAATTTCATCTGTCGTAGTGGTTAGCAGTTTCATATCAATTTATAAAAAGATAACAATAGGTGGGATTTTCTTTATGTATGCTGGTATCACTGCTTTGGCTTGGTGGTTCTACTATTTCTTGCCTGAAACCAAAGGAAGATCATTAGAAGACATGGAGACAATCTTTGAGAAAAACTCAAAGTCGGAGATACAAATGAAGCTTGACTACAGCAAAGTTAACAACGCATCGACATAAATAATTATCTATGGAGTGAGCAATTTGTGTTGTGTTTCTATCAGTGGTATGGTTCAAGGAAAATAATAGGTGAATATTACATCTAAATCACAGCAGAAGATGGAGTAGAGCATGCATGATAAAAAATATGATCGACTAAAATAGAAGAGAAAGTCGCATGATCATTCCCAACCTCCTGTAAGAGCTCAGTAGTTGTATGAAATGTAAATTTTAAAGCAATTTTAAGAGCAAAATGGAAGCCAACATTACGCAATTCTAATTTCTTTGCTTCCTCACCCAGTTAGGTGTGAATTTTGACAATTTTTTTTTATTGTTTTTCAATCCACACGAATCTTACCATATTAAATCAAAATTTCTAGTTTTTTAACCTGTGTCTTGAATTTCTGGAAATGCATGTTTTTAGCCTAAGAAGAAATATGCAGAGACAGAAAATAGGAAGGTTGTTTAATATCCAATACAAAATGGATAGTTTCTTTTTCACCTTCTCGCATTGGTGCATATCTAACTAAGACCTTTCATATGCTAGTCAACTTATTACTTACGGAGTATGTTGGTTAGAATTTCAAATATTAATCTTATTTATTATTATTATTATTTTTAAAATACATTTTGATATCTCAATCTCTAAACACTGATGTAAATCTTAAATATTTCATTTCGAACTATTTCAATAATTTCTTTGATGGAAATAATATATCTTATTTGAATCCATTTTAAATTCTTTGTCGGAGGGAGTTTTTGGATGAGAACGACGAAGAGACTTGGTTTGATGTTGGTGAATCGATTCTACAGCGAGGACACAGTGATGAAGGAGCTGGTTGGGACGGTGATTGGTACAAAGTGAGCAAGAAAAGGAAAGATTTAAAGCAAAGCATGATATATTTTGAGTCTTCATTAGTTTCACACGAATGTGAAATCTAAATTAATTGATATATAAGGACTTTTAATTATATTATTCTTATATAATAAAATAAATATAAAATAATTATAAAAATAAAATTAATATATATATATATATATATATATATATATATATATATTTTACCAACCTTAACAAGTAAATTGTAACACAAGCCGAGTACTATATATATAATTACAAATAAAGACAACTTAGTGCTATGGTCTTTACTTACCTCCATTCCTATTAAAACTTATGAGTGAAAATCCCTTTCTGAACTTATTCTCGATAAATAAATTTTTATTAGGTTAAATATGTTTTTATTCTTATATTTTGTAATAGATTTGATTTTAAAATTTTATTAAAAATTGATTAATTAATTTAGAAACTTAAAATATAAATATATATATATATATATATATATATATATATATAAATTTAGTCCTTTTATCAACTTGATAACAATATAAAAAATTATTAAATGTTCAATATATAAAGAAAAAATAAAATCAATAGTTAATCCTGTTATCAATTTTGTTAAATTCAAAAGTCATTACTAAATGTAAATTTTAATTTTTAAAAATCAAAACAACATATTTTGATAAAAATTAAATGGATAATTAATTAGTTTTTAAACATAAGACCAACATTAAGTTCAACAAAAAATATTTACTCCATTTTAAATATTCTAATTACTTATAAAATATTTTTGTAAGTAGATATAATTTTTACATTCACTTTACCGTCCTAAGAAGGAGCAACTCGTTGTCTCATCTCAGCTTATTAGATCAATTAGATTGAATCATAAGTCAGATCAATTTTTGTATTTTTAATCCCGACCACTTTCAAATTTATATTCTGAACAATCTTTTTTCATGTTCTAAAATATAGTTAAATAGAATTTAAAAATTGAATATGTTAAATTAACCCGAAACATATGTAAATAGGAGTTGGCTACATTCTTATTTGAATGAATGGTAGAAAGTAACTAATTTGGCAGTAGAAAAACATATACTCGTAATTACGTATTGTGAAGAGTCAATTGTAAGGAATTTTATAAATATGAAGGGTTAAATACAACCAGGCTTTTATAATGGAGAGAATGAAGCAAAATTTTCTAAAGAAAAATGATAAAAATAAGAAATGATTCTGGGGTCATTAAACTGTTCACAGTGTTCATCAAAGTCTGAATGTGAAGGCTAGGTAATTTGTGAACTCTTTTCAGACCAAAATTTAAAAATGACTACGGAGGAAGAAAGAAACACATGCGTGCAACCATCCATGGAAAATGTTATTGAAAATGGGAACAGTGATGGAAGGCTCAACAAGTATGCCTTTGCCTCAGTCATGGCTGCTTCTATCATCTCCGCTGTATTTGGTTATGGTGAGTGACTGACTTTCTATTCTTCTATTTTTTTTTTTTTTTTTTATTTCATTTGAGAGAGAGAAAAAAAAGAAGAGAAAAACACAAATGGTTATACAAAGAGTTGTTTAACATAGAAGAGTTTTGAAAAAAATGAAGAAAGGAAAGTAACTTTTTCTTCAATCCTATTAACATTTGGGAACAAATTATGGCAAAAGTATTTTAAGAAAGATATAGAAAAATGGTAGTTTTGTTTTGTTACGTTTAAAATCAACAGTTTCTCTGTTTTCTTTGCAATATTATGAACAACTAGACCAATTAATAATGAAGATCATTCTGTAGTCATTGCAATGATGTCTGGAGCACTAGTATTCATAAAGGAAGATCTTCAAATCAATGACTTGCAAGTGCAGCTGCTAGCAGGGATGTTACATGTATGCGCATTACCTGGATGCATGGCTGCTGGAAGAACGTCTGATTACAAAGGTCGTCGCTACACCATCATTCTATCATCCATCATCTTCACATTGGGCTCAATTCTAATGGCCTATGGTCCATCCTATCTCATTCTCATGATTGGAAACTGCATTGTTGGAGTTGCTGTTGGTTTTGCACTCATTATTGCACCAGTTTATAGCGCAGAGATTTCACCTCCTTCCTACAGAGGATTTCTCACCTCTCTCCCTGAACTTTCCATCAACATAGGACTCTTGCTTGGCTATGTCTCAAACTACTGCTTTGAAAAATTGCCCCTCAAACTTGGCTGGAGAATGATGGTGGTTGGTCCTGCTCTTCCTTCACTTTGCCTAATCATTCTCATGTTGAAGTTGGTAGAGTCTCCAAGGTGGTTAGTCATGCAAGGACGTGTAGGTGAGGCCAGGAAAGTGCTTTTACTAGTCTCTAATACAAAGGAAGAGGCTGAACAACGCTTGAAGGAAATAAAAGGTGTTGTTGGAATTGATGAAAACTGCACCCTAGACACTGTTCAGGTTCCAAAGAAAACTCGCAGTGGTGCAGGAGCTCTGAAGGAACTGTTTTATAAACCTTCACCACCTGTCCGTAGGATACTGATTGCAGCAATTGGAGTTCATGCATTCCTTCAGATAGGAGGAATTGGAGCTATTTTGTTATATAGTCCTAGAATCTTTGAGAGAACAGGAATTACTAGCAAGAGCAAGCTCATGCTAGCCACAGTTGGTCTTGGAGTCAGCAAAGTTATATTTGCATTCATATCAATTTTCTTATTAGATAAAGTTGGGAGGAGAGTTCTCTTAGTGGTTAGTGCAGGAGGTATGGTTGTGTCCTTATTAGGATTAGGTATTTGCTTGACCATAGTTGAGTACTCCAGTGAAAATGCAGTGTGGGCAATAAGCTTTACCATTATGGTTGCGTACATCCTTGTGGCTTTTCAGACAATTGGAATTGGCCCAGTGACATGGGTTTATAGTGCAGAGATTTTGCCCTTGAGGTTTAGGGCACAAGGCCTTGGTGTCTGTGTGGCTGTGAACAGAATCACAAATGTGATAGTGGTTACAAGCTTCATTTCAATATATAAAGGGATAACAATGGGTGGAAGCTTCTTTTTGTTTGCTGCTATCAATGGTTTGGGTTTGTGGTTCTACTGTACTTTGCCTGAAACTAAAGGAAGATCATTAGAGGATATGGAGACTATCTTTGGAAAAAAATCACAGTTGGACCACAAATAAAATTCCACATGTTTCCCTCTTCGTGCCCCAGTAAAGAAATCAACGTCACCTTTTTCTTAGCCAAGTGTAGTAGAAAAACAAGAAAAGAAGGTAGCTTTATATCTGACATTTATTCAGCTTTCAATAATAAAGGTTATGTTCATCAGAAATACTTTAATTTTACTAAGTGATGTCTTTTTTATTAAGGGTACTTTATTAGTTCATTAATATGTTATATTTTGGGTGAATATTAATGTATAATATATAAGTAAATATTACTAATTAATCCTATAAATAATATATTTTAAAAGAAAAATCTATTTAAATAAAATTCTATTAATTTATATATTTAATATATATATATATATATATATATATAAATATATTTTTTTATTTTTTTTTTCACCTTCCTCCTGCACTTTTTATTCATCTCTTCTTTATTTTACATCTCTTATTTTTCTCTCTCATCTCCTTCTTATTTTTTGTAATTAAACTATTATATTAAAATTTAATAAAAATATATTAAAACAAACACTTTAAAATCAACATTAAAACTAAAAATATCAATTAATTATTTAAAATTATCATGATAATAAATAATTTTATTTATTATGACAAGAAATAATTAATTTAAAATTATTTTTATAATAAATAATTACTCATCTAGTTAAAAAATATCAAATATTAATGAGTTAAATATATTTTTTATTTAGTAATTTAATTTATTTATAATTAGGTTGAGTTATGATAATTAGTTAGATTAGGTAATTTTAAAAAATATTTATTAAAAAAATATTTTAAAACAAATATATTTTTAATAATTATAAAATAAAAATAATATTTCTAATATAATAAATTTATCATATAATATTTTTTTCAAATATAATATATTAAATTATAGTATTTCTGGATCATTAGAATAATTTTTTTTATATAATAAAAGACTCACTCTATCAAATTTTAATTTAATATTTTTAATTAAAGAATAAGATGGAAGAAAAAAAAAGAATAAACAAAACAAACACTAAATAAAGACGGAAAAAATAAAACAATAAAAATAAAAAAGGAAAATAAGAAAATAAATGGAGATAGAAAAAAGTTATATTATATCAGATAAATTTATTTATTTTTATTAAATTTGCATATGAACAGTAAATAGGTATAATTAGATAAATAAAATTAGAAAAATTTAATTTAAATAATTATTCTTTTTAAATATATTATTTATGAGATTGATTCTAAATATTATTATTTGTAAATATTTATATTATTTTTATAAATAAACTGAAATTATTATATTATTTTATATATTTTCAAATAAAAACATGACTTAATCTCAATACAAATTAGCCTTAAGGCCTAAACTTTATAAAGAAATCTTTATCAAAATTTACTGATATGATTCTGAATCAATAAATAAATTATAATAATTACGTTTATTTTTTAAGTATAATATTACATTTATTTTTTTAAGTTGTAAGAAATTAAGTTAATTTTTTTTATAAAAGTGTGGATAAAGTCACAATTAACAAAACTTATAGTGAGAAAATATTAAAATTGCTTATAATTGATGTGACATGGTAACCACTTAAAATAAATGACGGACTGTTAATAAAATCAATTTTATTATAACTTATTAAATTTCACGATTAGCTTATTAGTTCACGTTCTTAACTGGTCGATATTTCAGATTTGGCCTACAAACCTTTTCAAGAGTTGGTTTGTTAGTCTGTTAATAGGTTATTTCATGCATGCATCATTTAAGAAAAAACTTTTATAATAATTTTATTAACTTTTTACATAAACAAAGTGTGAAATAAAAAAAAATTAATATTGTTACCCATACCTAACCATTGTCATATCTAATTAAGAATACATCCACAACCTCTTCACAAATATATATATATATATATATATATATATATATATATATATATATATTTATAAAATATAGATACCTATTAAATTATAAATTTACATAACAAACATTCATGTAGGTAGAGATTCTCTAATTAATCACCTTTCAAATAACTTCAGAGTGTTACTTCCACCAAGTTTATGAACAACTAGGGTTAAAAGGTGCCCTTTCACAAAGATGTTAAGTGTTTCCCAGAGACAACCAAGTAACAATTAATTGCTTGTTTATAGAAAACAATAAATGATTGGTGTCATGCTATGCGTATTAGAGTTCATGAAAAATGTTTAGACCCTGTTTTATAACTTCCTTTTAACATTTTTTATTGTTTAAAATATATAAAATTACAAAATTTAATGATCATCTAAAACTTTTAGTTTAATGACATTTTTTTATAATTTGTAATAAATTTCAATCTGCAAAAATGTGTTAAAAATCATTTCCTATATTCTTCAATCTGCATATATATTTTAACATGGTTTAATTTATATTTATGGACTTTTTATCCGATTCATTAAATAAAATCTATTTTTATAACACTAATTACCGACTATGCAATATTTGGTTAAGTGGTATGTTGCTTAGTCTCAAATACTGTATATGTAATACAATTAAAAATGCTTTTGTATGTTTGTTTGTGACTTTGATTTTCGAAATTATTTTTATTATTTTATTACATAATAAAGAAAAGTGAGAGATTAGCTAAACTTTCAAAATTTATATTCTTTAATAGTTTTTAAAGAACTCATTTTTTTTTAATTAATGATTTTTTATTATTTTTGTTATATATTATGAATCACGTAAATATGTAAAACTAATATAGAGTGATAAAATTAATTTTGAAAGTTTTTTTATATATACAGAAAGTTGTGAAATTATTTTTCTAGAGTATAAAAATGTTATAGTTTGAAATGTTTGATTTCCACATGTCGCATGTAAAACACATATTTCTATATATAGATTATTATAGAGTATTAAATTTTAAACTAAATAGTTTTTAAAAAGTCATAAAAATAAACTTAATTAAATTATAAATAAGATAATAAATTGGACACACACTTTATTTTTTTAAAACAAGACATTTGAACTTTTATTTAGGCTTGTTTAATAATAAAAAAAAGTATAAATAATATTTTTATAATTTATTATATATGCATCACACCTCAATTTCTTATATTCGATAATAGTTTCAAAGAAGTTTTTGCCTCACTGTAATTTCCTGGCATCATCATTTTTTTTTTAACTTCTTTTGACAATTTTGAAAGGTTAAAAGATTAAACAAATGATTTTAATACGTGTGAATATCAAAGAATTTGAGTTGAAGTTACACATTTAACAATTATATATGAAGTTCAGTAATATATAAATAGAAGAATTTTAAGTTTAATATTTTAAAATTTTGGATTGGAGGTAGAATCATGTTATTCTCTTTTCTTAATATATTTATCCGTAGACTCCTTAGTTAAACCTGAAGTGTATTTTACAACCTCGATAATTGTATATCGCATTTCTCATATTTTGCAACGTCTCAGAGAATGAAGCAACACTTGCTTAAAGAAAATAACATATAAATTAATAATTAATTCATGTCATCGACTCTTATAAACATGCATATTATAGAGTCTACGTAAAGATTATCGCAAGCTTTTGAGCAATTTTCATATCCAAATTAACAATGGCTTCTGAAGATAAAAACACGAATGGCCAACAGTTCATGGAAAACGGTATTCGTGAAAACAAGGAGACCCATAGAAGACTCAACAAGTATGCCTGTGCCTCTGTGCTCGCTGCCTCTATTGTCTCTGCTATGTTTGGTTACGGTGAGTGCATAGAGCGTACTTCGTCTTAAATATTGATGTCTCTATCTTCTTATTTTTTCAGAACTGAAGTTATTGCAATTTTTCATGAACCAGACAAATTAGATGAGCTATATATATATATATATATATATATATATATATATATATAAACTATATTGTTCTTTAGTCACAGGAGTGATGAGTGGAGCACTCATATTCATTCAAGAAGACCTTGAAATCAGTGACCTACAAATACAACTTCTAGTAGGTATGTCACATTTGTGTGCCCTACCAGGTAGCTTGATTGCTGGAAGAACATCCGATTATGTAGGTCGTCGCTACACCATCATTCTAGCTTGCATCGCCTTCTTATTAGGTTCAATTCTAATGGGCTATGGTCCATCTTATCCAATCTTAATGATTGGAAATTGTATAGTTGGTGTTGGTGTGAGTTTTGCAATGGTAGTAGCACCACTATATAGTACAGAGATTTCACCTCCTTCTTCCAGAGGCTTTTTTACCTCTCTCCCAACACTTTCCGTCAACACAGGATTCTTGCTCGGATACATGTCAAACTATTTCTTTGAAAAATTGTCACTGAAGCTTGGATGGAGGATGATGGTGGCTGTTCCTGCAATCCCTTCACTTTGCCTAATCCTTCTGATGCTAAAGTTGGTGGAGTCTCCAAGGTGGTTAGTCATGCAAGGACGTGTTGGTGAGGCCAGGAAAGTGCTTTTACTGGTCTCTAGTGCGAAGGAAGAAGCTGAAGAAAGGTTGAGGGAAATAAAAGGCGTTGTTGGAATTGAGGAAAATTGCACCCTAGACATTGTGGAGGTTCCAAAGAAAACTAGTAGTGGAAAAGGAGCTCTGAAGGAGTTGTTTTTTAAAGCTTCAGCTCCTGTACGTAGGATACTGATTGCAGCAGTTGGACTTCATTTGTTCCTGCGGATTGGTGGAAGTGCGGTTATTTTATTATATAGTCCAAGGGTGTTTGAGAGAACGGGAATCACTGACAAAAGCACACTCATGCTTGCCACTGTTGGTATAGGAGTGAGCAAAGTTGTATTTGCATTCATATCAATATTCTTGTCAGATAAATTTGGGAGGAGGATTCTCTTGCTGATTAGTGCAGTAGGTTTGTCTGTGACCATGTTGGGGTTGGGTATTTGCTTGACCATAGTGGAACACTCCAAAGAAAAAGTATTTTGGGCATCAAGTTTAACGGTTATTCTTACCTACATTTTTGTGGCTTCTATGTCTGTTGGAATAGCACCAGTGACATGGGTTTATAGCTCTGAGATATTTCCTCTTAGGTTCAGAGCACAAGGCCTTAGTGTTTGCGTGATTGTGAACAGAATCACAACTGTGGTAGTGGTTACAAGTTTCATTTCGATTTATAAAGCCATAACAATGGGTGGGATTTTCTTTATGTTTTCCTGTATCAATATTGTGGGTCTGTTGTTCTATTCCTATTTGCCTGAAACTAAAGGAAGATCATTAGAAGATATGGAGACTATTTTTGAAAGAAATTCTAAGTAAGAGATGCAGATGAAGCCTCTGCTTGCAACCATCTCTAGCTTTTGTACTTGAAATGATTATTGTTGGTTGATAAGTAGTTATTTATTTATTTTCTCTTATTGTTTTCATTTAGAGTATTATGTTTGTTACAAGTTAAAACAGCCTTTCATAAGTAAATATTTTGAGCTTTTTAAAAATTTCCACTTTCCTTCCTCTCTGGGTTATCGTGTTATCGTGTGTATATATATATATATATGAAAAATGATACTTTTGACACCTGAATTTTATACAACTTTAAACAACCCACTTTTAATATTATAATAATAATTTTAATTTATTTTCATTTTTATTTAATCTCTTTTATAATTATTATATTAATAAAATGAGTTGTTTTTTAATTATTTTTTGTTATGGTTATCAAAATATCATGACCGATTTTTTATCCAGTCATTCATCTTCTTACTTAATATATTGGTAAAATGAATTATTATTTTAAATAAATAAATTATATAAAAATAAAAATAAAGATAAAAAATTTAATCCTTATTATTAAAAGTCGAATATTCCTTCCTCACCCCAAGGAATCAACTTATAGAAAGGATAAAAAAGCTGAATACTATTAAGTGCTTATCTGTCCAACCGGCGAAGTAATAAATAAATAATATTATTTAAAATAGAAAGGTATTTAAGTTAAAAATAAAATAAAATTATATTTTAATTATATATTATAAGTTATTTATATTTTATTTTATATACAATTTTTGACGTAAATTTTACATAAAATGTATTATTTTATGTCTAAAGACTTGGAATAATTTTTTTTTAATTCATTAAACTCAAATGTCAACTTTCAGTATAACAAAATTTCTTTAAAATTAAATCTTCTAATTAACTAATACAATTTCAAATAAACACCCCACTGTCTTCAGATTTATCTCATACTTATTTTTTTATGAGATAAGATATGATGCATAATTTTTTATTATTTTTTAAGGTATGATGGATAATTAAACATTAATAAAATTTAATGATATTTTTTAAAATTAAAAACTTAATGCTTGAATTTTTATTTTATTTTTTACTACAAATGCTTAATTAACAATTTTTTATTAGTTGATTGACTTCAACGAATTACTGAGAATTAATAATGAATAATATATAAGTATGTTGGTCTTTTGTCAAGCGTATTAATATTATCAATCGCAATACAATATTTCAATTAAATAAAAGTTAATCTCGAGAAATGGTTTCACTGAAAATTCCAAGTCATATGCTTATGAAGTATATTGACACAAAATTGATTTTTCATAAATATGTGGATTGAAACTAAATGACAAAAAGCTATTAAGTATTTTTAGAAAAGATAAAATATAAGAACTTATTAGGATTGAATTAATTTATTTTCCCTCCTTTTTCTTGGACAAATTCATTCTTGATGCTCTCTCCTCTTTTTATCTTTTGTTTTTTTCTCTCTCTTCATTATTCTTATTAGGGAGATATCTTTCTTTATTACTCTCCTCTTCTCGTCCTTTATTTTCTTTTCCCAAAACCTCTTCTGCAACAGTTAGATTGTCACCAATCCCCTTACCTACAACTTTTCCACTCCTTGTAACTATTGATTTGCAATGCTCCTTGGGGTTGGTTTGTGTATTGACTGAAAAATATCCTCCTTATTGCTCAGATAACTGTTTAGTCAATTGGCCCACCTGGGTCTCTAAATTTCTTATCGAAGTCTCTATATTTTTTTGACTAGTCAAGGAAGCTTGCATGAATTTCTCCAGAGTGTCCTCCAATTTGGTTGTTCTCTCATGCACTAGAGGGTAATGTTGTTGTTGTTGTTGATATGAATGTTGCTGATATGACTGTTGTTGATATGGAGATTGCTGATATGACTGTTGTTGATATGGAGGTTGTCTATTAGATGGACCAACACCTTGTTTCCACCCAAAGTTCTGATTCTAATTCCCTCTCCATCCTTGTGAAAAATTGTTCTGATAGTTGTTGGAATTAGGAAAATTTGTTTGTCTTCCTTGACCACTACCACCTTGAGCACCCATATAATGAGATTCTTCTTCTTGTAGGTTGCCTTGGTAAGAGCAGTGTCCATTTGGATGATCACCTCCACAAAAGTTACAACTCATTTGATGGTTAGAAGTGGATTGGACAACATGTAATTGTTGAGACAGTTTTGCCATTTGCTTGGTCAATGCTTCAATCTGTTGAATCAAAATATTATTTTGAGCTAGGATAACATCTGTGGTACTAAGATCAAACACTCCTTTACTCTGAACTGGATGTCTATCATGTTGGTCTGTAGAGGCTAGTGCATCAATAATTCTTGTGGCATGTGCAACATCCACATATATCATGATTCCTCCTGCTGCAAGATCTAAGAGCATCTTTGTATCAGGTCTCAGGCCAGTGCAGAAGATGTTCAACTGGGCATTATCTTCAAATCCATGATTTGGACACCTCCTTAATAGTGATTTAAATATCTCTCATGCTTCACAAAAGAGTTCATCTGCTCCTTGTCTGAAAGTAGAAATGTCAGATTTTGCCTCAATGTAGCGGGATGGTGAAAAAAAATCTATTCAGGAACTTATCTTCTATATTATCCCAGCTGGTCAAAATCTGATTAGGATGTGCTTTTAACCACTCCTTTGCCCTGCCAGCCAGTGAAAAAGGAAATAATCTCAAGTATGCAGATTCAATATCTCCTTCTTTAAACCCCATGGTGCCAATCAACTCATAAAAAGTGGACAAAAATGAATATATGGATGTTCATGATCCATTCCGGTGAATTGATGAGCACTAATCAAGCTTAAGAAGGCTGGATTCATCTTCAAAGATTGGTTGGGTGATATCGCAATGCTGGAGAAGTGTCTCGGACCTTGACCTTGTTGCATAATATAGTCTCTGAGTGTTCTTCTAGGTGGGTTTGCTCTTTCACCTTCCATGTCTTCTATGATTGGGTCTGGTAAGTTGAGTGTGAGAGAAGAGTTAACTGATTCTCTTGCTGCTTGTTCTTGAGTTTTCCTTATTCTTTTACCACGATTCCTTTGAACGGCTATTTCAATCTCAGGATCAAATTTTAAATTAAGCTATAGATACCTGTCCTCTTAAAAACATAAATCAAAGAGCAACTTAAGTAAGAATTAGCACAAGACAATGAATAAATAAAATAAAAAGAATAAATTTAAAATAACTAAAAATAAATTATTCAAATGCAATAAGCTAAACAAAGAGTTTCCAAGGAACACCGTTCCCCGGCAATGTGGCCAGAAATACTTATTGGTCTTTTGGCAAGCGTACAAATATTATCAATCGTAATACAGTATTTCAATTAAATAAAAGTCGATCACACGAGGAACGATTTCACTGAAAATTTCAAATCATATGCTTATTAAGTGTATTGACACAAAATTGATTTTTCATAAATATTTGGGTTGAAAATAAGCGGTAAAGAGCTATAAAGTATATTTAGAAAAGATAAACTATGAGAACTTAGGATTGATTTAATTCATTTTTCCTCATTTATATAATGACTAGGTCAAATTAATAACATCAATTAACCTATCAATGTTGATGCAACCTACTTAAATCATTCACGATTCCTCAAACATGAAATTCATAAGAAAACCTTATAAACATAGATTCCTGATACATTTAATAGATTTTCCAGCATTAGGTTTAAGGTATTAAACACTTAATACATCCATTACCATTCCTAGCAATCAATGTAGTAAATATTTTTAACCTAATCAAGGGTTTCAAGATATATTTTTCAATATATATGAACATCAAGGATAAAAGTATTAAAAGATACAAAGGATAAGAATAACAATATAAAAAACATAGATTAACATCTAAAAATATCACCACGATACAAAAGAGTTCAAAGGAAGTGTACCCAATCCTAAGAGAATGAAGTTAGTCACTCATGATAGTCATTACAATTATCCAACTGAAGAAGAATTGAATATTAGAGCAGCAATCGCGCCTCCTTGCGAAAACCTAATTTTTTTTCCCTCTCTTCTCCTTTATAACCCTACGTGATCACTCATATAAATAACCTTAAACCTAATATCAATTTAGATTTGGTCCCAACTGACCCATAAAACACATAAAAAACAAATAAGATAAAAACCCTAATCTTAATGAACAACTGACATGACATCTGACCCAATCTTCAAAGTCCAAGATTGCTTTAAACTGTCATGAAAATAATAATGAACAAAAATTAGATCAAATAAATTTAAATTAATTAAAATCTGAATTACTGGCCCAATGAAACCCAATTAATAAAAATTCACTAATAATAGACAATTAAGCCCAAAACACTAATTAAAATAAATAAAAAAGATAAGAAAATATGAAAATATAATGAATAATCAAGGTACAATACTTGAAACATAGTGAGTTCATAATAAATCTATGTATAAACAAGGCTTTAAGTCGTCTTACCGAAATATATATGAAGTTTATTTAGCAAAAAAATATAGTTTTTTAAATTATCAAAACAAAATTACAAAAAAATGAATAAATCAAATTTAGAAAGATCATTTTATTTTTAAAATTGTTTTTTTTAATGCGATTAAGAATATTTTAACTGTCCATAAATAGTTTTTATTAAAAGAAAATAGGTTATCATTTTATATAGAAATAATAATAATAATAAAAAAATAATATTCGGGGGAAGATTGTAACCCTTCCAAACTCATTCAAAAGAGCTTTTTTTTTAAGAAAAAAAATTGAGTCTATCATATGGTGGTTGTCCCATAAAACTATAAAATGTTACTACAAATTCCCTCCTATATAGACTGGAAGGGGTTGTTATTTGTTTCGATAAAATTCTATAAAGTAGCGTTTAAGAGGCGTTTGTTTTACAATTACGATAATAATAGTTTATTATGCCTTTTCTTCATAAAACACAATGTCCAGAGGCAAACAATTGCTTGCTTAAATAAAAGAAAAATGAAATGCACTAATAATGTCATGGTATCTTAAGCAAATTCGAGTCTACATCAAGATTATTTTTTTTACTGAGTCTGATTTTAAACACTAATATATCATCAGAATGTAAAATTTAAAATATCTTCAGAACATACAAACGCAAACCGCCATGGAAAACGGGGACAGTCACAGTCACAGAAAGTTCAACAAGTGTGCCTGTGCCTGTGTTATCTCTGCTATATTTGGTTATATGGTGATTGTGTACAGTATATATTCATTCAAAAAGAGCTTCAAATAAGTGACTTAGAAGTAGAAGTGCTAGCAGGCATGTTACATTTATGTGCGTTACCAAGTAGTTTGGTTGCAGGAATAACATCTGGTTTGCATCGCATTCTTATTAGGCACTCTTCTAATGGGCTACGACCATCCAATCTAATCTTAATGATTGGTAATTGCATTCTTGGAATTGGTAAAATCTTATATATATATATAAAAAAAAATTAAAACTCAATAAATTTGAATTGTTTATAGAAATAAATTATTAAAAAATTAAATAATTTAAAACAAAAATAATTCAAATTAAATGTTTTTTATTTTTTTTAAATTATAAAATATCTTATGGAAACCCAGAAAAATAATTTTCCCTCTCTTCTTATTCAAATCTTAATTACATTATAAAATCTTTTTAATTCTTTTATTTTTTTTTACTAAACTTTTATTTTTTTATTCATATAAAAATCATAAATGGCCAAATATTTGGATAAATAGTTGATGGTCTTAAAATATATATATAAACTAATTTTATTTAACTTTAACAAAAAGGAGAGCTTAATGAAGTTGAAGAAAAATTATGAGACCAATAAAACTGCTCATAATCTAAATTAGAGGGTCAACAGTACATAATTCTTTTTTTTTTTCTCTTTTTCTTCATCTTATTTTTTTTTTCTATTTGAGTATAATATATTCTTTGTTGCTCATAAGATGTTAGTTTTAGTCCTTATAAATAATTTATACACTTTAAAATTATTAAATAAGTTCCGTTTTATTGTTTACAAACATTAGTTTTTCCTTTTATGGATTTGAAGATAATCATGTTTGAGACATTTTGTCTACTAAACATGAATTTTATTTTCCTTCAAAACTTGAGTTAAACTTGAAATAATTAATGTATATATATATAAAGCAGGATAATATTTATTATAGTGGGAGTAAAATAAAGACGTATGGTATGGAAAATTCCCCGTTGTTTCCCTTTCTGAGAAAGTGTGTTTGTTTTGGGTGAATAGGTCATCGGATTTGGACAAACATTGAGTCACATAGTGGGAAAATAAGTTTCAAACAATAATTATTTTGGGTCCATAATTATGTGAGGTCTCTTTTGCTAAGCCTATGAAAACATTGCTGGGAAAGTGCGACGATGATCAATCTATACCTGTTGCCTGTTGCCTCGTTGACCTAAGGAACATCCAAAACCCTATTCTGTTTGTGGTGGAATATTTGCAAGTACGTACCGAGGCAGGTTCTTCATTTATACGTTCAACAAAATTAAAGGAAAATAATAAGTTCATACTCTTACCCAACAAATATCTATTATATAACCCAATTTTAGTAAAACCTTTTTAATTTATATTATTATTATTATTATTATTATTATTATTATTATTATTATAGTGAATTATAGATTGATGTATAAAATGAATAGTGATATCAAAATATCACCACCCAACAAAAAAAATATCACTTAATTAGTCCTGTTTGGATTACACAGCGAATTTAGAAAAAAGGAGTAAGAAAATAGCAGGGAGAATTATTTGAATTAAAAAAATGAAATAAATAAATAAAATAAATTTATTTATTATTAATAAATTAATTTATTAATTTAATATATATTTTAATATAATTTTTTAATTATTTATAAAATAAAAAATAAAAAATATCAAATAAAATAGTTTTCACACATAATGGATTATCTCTGATTATGTTTAAATTTTTTTTCGCGTTATAGAGAAAATATTTTTTTTTTCAATTTTTCAATTTTTATATATTAAAATGCGTAAAATCTACATATTTATGCGATTTCAATGATTCCATCGCTGGAAACAAACAACACTTAAAAATTTAGTAATAGTTATTATTTTTTATTAATATAAGGTTCTAACCAATAAAGTTACAATTTTTAATATAAATAATATGAATTAATAGTTAAAGAATGATACATTATTAATATAATTGATTTTTTAATATAAAAAAATTAAGTTTAAATATAATTCATTAAATTTAACCTCAAAAATTTGTTCATTTTGTGTGAGATTATAATTTATATAAACAATTTGAGCTTTTCACATTTTGAAAGTCTTGTGTGTAACGTTTACCATTTTTATTAATACTATTACATTAAGTAATAAATTATTTTTTAATCAATTTATTTTATTAATTTTATTTTTGATATTAATACTTCAATTAAATAAGAATGATAAATTAATTCCTAACAATATATATAAATATGGATTCATGTATAGGTATTTTTAGAGTTTAATTTTTAAATACAAAATTTTACACTCTTATCAACTAATTATAATCGTTTTGTTTGAACTTATCGTTGCTCAATGAAGATTTGTCTGTGGCTGATTTTCTGCTTGCGTTGTAGGGAACACACCAGACTCTGCTCAAGTCAGTGTGTTCAGAATTGTGGGTATTGTACTGGAATATTTATAAGAAATTAACTATAATACTATGACTACTCTTAATCATCATCCTCTCAAATCTATTCAAAACAAGATTCCATTGAATATTCCTTAGAGACAACGTTTATGCTTGCAATGGTTGTTACGCGATTTCAGAGATTGAGGATAGACTTCCATGAAGCTAAGTAAACTGGGTATATGTATAAATAATATTCTGCACTGGGAGAACAATCCCATTAGAGTTAGCTATTGGGGAGGGTTGTTTGTGTTTGTTATACATCAAAAACACATCCTAAATACAACTTTTCAAAACAAAATGATTCTAAAAGATAATGTTACCTTCAATTCTAATTTACAATTAGTTTTTCAAACATATGTATAAAAGAATAATATCATGTTTATCTAATCTCTACACCTCATAATCCCAATAACATGACATCAAGTATGTCTTGGTCTAATGTCTAGTAGAGTGGTGAGACCCACGGGACCCAACTTTCACTGTTCATCCAATAAGAAGAGGACCATGTCGGTATCTTCGGCTACTATATAAACAGGCCGAAAGAATTAAGAAGTACACGGTAGTTGTTTTAGCTGGCGCTCAGACTCGTTGTCCAGTTTAGTTTAAGACACGAGAGAAAGAGCGTACGCGTAATAATCGTTTAGAAAAAGGTAGCCAGAAAGGAATAAAAAACCTTCGTAGAAAGTACATGTCTAGCATGGAGATAGGTGGTGAAAAAGAGCAGTTCAACAAATATGCTTTTGCATGTGTTTTAGTAGCTTCCATGATATCCATTATATTTGGATATGGTAATATTTTCTCTTTACTGGTTTAAATTTGTTCTCTGCAAAACAAGATACTGTATTTGAAATTAGTGCTTTACTAAGTACGTTTAACGTTCTTATTTTTCTTGTTAGGAATCGCATATAATATACATAGAAATATTGTTAAACCCACTTGGTAACATATTCAATGTTAAATTATGTGATATTTTAGATAAATGCATGCCTAGGCCTAGCTAAAACATTTTTTGATACATGTATACATAATTTCAGATACCGGTGTTATGAGTGGTGCCATGATATTCATAAAGGAGGAGTTTGGAATCAGCGACACCCGACAAGAAGTTCTAGCCGGCATCTTAAACCTTTGTGCATTGGTAGGTTCTTTAGCTGGAGGAAGAACGTCTGATTACTTTGGTCGACGATTCACAATCGCTCTAGCCTCTATCCTTTTCATGACGGGTTCAATTCTCATGGGATATGGTCCAAACTACGCAATTCTTATATTGGGAAGGTGTGTCGCGGGTATTGGCGTGGGTTTTGCTCTTCTGATAGCACCAGTTTATTCTGCAGAAATCTCCTCTGCTAAATCCCGAGGATTTCTAGCGTCCCTACCTGAACTTGGTATTGGTATTGGAATTTTACTTGGTTACGTTGCAAACTACTTCTTAGGGAAGTTGACTTTGAAGCTTGGGTGGAGATTGATGCTTGGTATTGCAGCAGTTCCTTCACTTGCTTTAGCTTTAGGCATTCTCATAATGCCTGAGTCTCCAAGGTGGTTGGTGATGCAAGGCCATTTGGGAAAAGCCAAGAAAGTTTTGTTACAAATTTCAAATACTGAACAAGAAGCTGAGCTTCGGTTCAAGGATATAAATATTGCAGCTGGGATAATTTACGAGAATTGCCCTGAAGTGACAGTTAAGCACCCAGAAAAGAACCGTGGTGAAGGGGTTTGGAAAGAGTTGCTTGTGAAACCCTCTTATTCTGTTCGGTGGATGCTGATTGCAGCTGTGGGGGTTCACTTTTTTCAGCATGCTACTGGAATTGAAGCTGTGATGCTATACAGTCCAAGAATCTTTAGAAAAGCAGGTGTTACCACTAAGGACAAACTCTTGCTCACAACCATTGGAGTAGGCCTTACAAAAATCTTTTTCTCGACAATAGCAACATTTTTTCTTGACAGAGTTGGGAGAAGACGCCTCTTGCTTTCAAGCACTGGAGGAATGGTTTGTAGCCTTGCAGTATTAGGATTCAGCTTGACCATGGTTCATAATTCCCAGGAAAAGCTCTTATGGGCCTTGACCCTTAGCATAGTGGCTACTTACTCGCTTGTTGCTTCTTTTAATATGGGACTTGGACCTGTCACATGGGTGTACAGCTCAGAGATTTTCCCTTTGAAGTTGAGAGCACAAGGAGTAAGTATAGGAGTTGCAGTTAACAGAGTCATGAATGCTGCTGTTGCCATGAGTTTTATTTCAATCTATAAAACACTCACCATAGGCGGAGCCTTTTTCATGTTTGCTGGTATATCTATATTGGCTTTGTTCTTCTTCTACTTTTTACTGCCTGAAACCAAGGGCAAGGCCTTGGAAGAGATGGAGATGGTTTTCAGCAAAAACTATAGTAGGAATGTAGCTGCAGAAACTGATCCGAGGCAGAATGTGTAAGTGAGGTGTAGCTGAGTTACAGTATCTTAGAGAGAATGTCTAAGTTTACTTTCTATTAAATACATAATATAACCTATTTTGCACCAACATGAACATTCTACCACTGTATCCACTCTACTCTAAAAGCAAGTGGCCAGAAAAAAAAGTGTTACCCTCAAAGAATAATTTTAACTGGGCCTAGCAAGTCAACTGCTAAAACACAAGTTGCTGATTATAGTTACAGGTACAACGAAGGAGGACAGTGATACATGAGTAAAATTAAGGCTAGTTGCATATGACGCAACACACGTTGATATATAGTGACAACCTACACTATTGTTGTTCCTGAATAAACCTCTCATGTGATATTTATTCTCATGTTGATTTAAAATATCACAACTCATCATTTTTTTTTCATTTACACTTTTTTCTTTTTTTCATATTTTTCTTTATAATTATTTTTCCATAAGTAATCTAAAAATTATATTTGAAAATAATTTTAAATATATTCATGAATTTATTTTAAATAATAATATAATTAGTTTATATCTAAATAAATATTTTTTAATATATTTTAAATTATTTTAAACTGAGATAAATATTTTAAAAATTATAAATAATTTGTTTAACTATTTAGATAATATTTTTTATGATAAATTTATATAATTTAATATTTTAATATATATTTTTTCATATTTAATAAACTACTAATAAAATATTTTTCACATTAATCAAAATCTATAAAACTTAATAAGTAAATATTTTATTAATAGATTAAATAAATCACATCATTGTCATATTTTTAGAAAATAAATAATATAAATAAATAAAATCTACAAGAATTTGTTAGAAAAATTAATATCAATCATTAATATAGTCAAACAATATTAAAAATATTTATTTATTATAAAAATATAATTAAATAAATAAATTATTTATTACTCTTAAAATATTTATCTCAGTTTAAAATAATTTTAAATATATTTAAGGGTTTATTCATTTAAAATACGTATTCTATTTAGATTTAAAATAAATATTATCATTATTATTATTATTTAAAATAAATCTTCAAATATATTTTAAATTATTTTGATGTATTATAAAAATTGTTTTAATTTATTTATGAAGAGATATTTAAAGAGAAAGAAGAAAAAGGAAAATACAGGTGAGAAAAAAAACAACAACAACAATAATAATAATAATAATAATAATAATAATAGCAATTATTAAGAAAGAATATAATGAATTATCCAATTTTAATTATACTTAAATAATAAATATAAGGTGACTACATATTATATGAAACAACGCACAAGATTATGCCAACCTCCTGTTGCTATATTGTTGAATAATGACTAAAGAGAAACGAAGTGTGGTGATTAAATTTAACTGATCTGCATGAGAAAATAAAAGGAAAATTTTTACTAGGTTTAAACTTTACTTGTCACCACGAACACCCAATAAACTCGATACTAATATTATAATTATGATTTGATTTGAGATACATATAAAATAAATAAAAAACTTAAGAATGATACTTATTTGAGATCAAAAGATAATAAAGATTAGTTTTATAAAAAAGAAAAGATTAATATATTGGGTAAATCATTCTATTCATTAAATCTTTTTAAGATTCTTAAAAAAATATGTATTTTTCTTTAAATTTATATACTGGGCAATTTAATATATTCTTTTAAAGTAGTATATTTTTAATCATTAACTAAACTTTAAACATTATAGTTAGTATATTAATTTTTAAAATTTATAATTATTGATGTCTAAATACTAGTTAGTATTTATAATTAGTATATTAGTTAAAATTATTTAATTTTCTTAATTACCATGTGAATCTTTTTTTAAATAGTTCAATCTATTAAAAATTTATTTAACATGTTTAAATATTCAATAATTACTTATTTTATTAATTATAAATATTAAAATAAATCTTTTAATAATTAAAAAAAAATAACATGAACTAAAAATGTCAATTAATAGATAAATTTAATAAAAAAATCAACCAAAATCCTCAGTTAATAACTGATCTTAAAAAATATATATTTTTTAACTGAAATCGTGATCAATGCACGACTTCAATAAAAAAATATATTGATGTATAGAAGTCTTATATTTTCTGTATGACTTCTAGAAAAAAGATAAGTTCTAAGAATTTATATAATTAAGAAATGATTAACGGATTTTTTTTAAATACTTTGCTGATTTTTTTATCAATTATTATTATGTTATTTATTATATAATTTATATTTTTATGATAATAGAAATAAAGAAAATTTTATAATTAATCATTTTTTATTTCGATTATAATATGAGAGTTTTAAAATTCAATGTATATGACTACTACATTCAACCATAAATGTTGATGATTTTCAAAATCCTAATATAAGATAAAAGGAACATATACGAAATGAAAATTTGAGACAACAATGATTTTGTTTATATCAAGATTTAATTGTGCTTTTAGAACAATGACAAAATTATAAAAAATAATCACGTCTCAAAGTCTCACTCAATCCTATACTTCTGTTTTATTTGTACAATTTGGTAAAACCTTTGCCTAGTTTAGTTCATGGATTCTTAACAGTGGAGTGGCTTGTATCCTTTAACTTCTTTTTTGCAATATTAAATCATTCATGTTACATTATTTTGCTAATGATTAGATTATTTTTAACTCCAAATCATATTTTTCATGGTCTCCTGTACATTCCTTGTATCTATTTCAATATGGTATCTATTGCAAAATTAGTTAAACTTTCATGTATTTTTACATTTGATTTTATCTTTCACATTGTTTATATTTTTTTTTTCCACCGCCTTGCTTTTCTTTGAGGTAAGTACCAATTTTTTGTTTGCTCTTCAAGAAAAGCAAGTTTGCTTTTCCATGAGTTTATTTTTTAACATTATTAGGGTAAATTTTTATGTCTGATCATTATTGTTTGTTTTATAAGTCTTATATGTCACGATTTTGTCTTTAAGATTAAAAGAGGAGGATGTATATAAATTATCATTAGTCTAGACTCTAAAATAATGTGAAACTCATAAGTGTATCATAATATAATTCTACACTCGAAGATTAAATGGTATATATGAGTGAAGCAAAATTTTGTTTTTATGGACGTCAATGTTCTGTTTAAGAAGAAATTGTATATATGAGTGGAGCAAAATTTTGTTTTTATGGACGTCAATATTCTGTTTAAGAAGAAAATGTTTCGACCTCGTATTCATTATTATAAGATCAATTTTCATGCCCTATGTATTGTCCGCTTTAAAGCTTTTGTCCGTCATAATTTTGTTCTTAAATGACGTCTTGGTGGGCTAAAGAAGAAAAATGTGTATAAACTATCATTAGTGTCGTGTGTGGGGAAACGATAGAGTGTTTCCTACTATTCAAAAGGGAAAAGGCTAAGAAAGAATGACATGAACAAAAAACCTTTGTGGGAAGATAATAAATTGATAGGAAAAAACGTCATGACAAACATTATCATCTTTATTCCTGAGAATTATCTTACTAAGAGAGAAATAAGAGAAAACTAATCAACACAAGAATATAACGTGATAATTTCAAAACCAGAGAAAAACCACGATTGTTATCAAATGATAACCAGAAAATAACATTATATGAAATTTTTTACAATACATAGACAACTCTTTCATGCCCTTTGACCCCAAATACATCCACACTCTCCAAAATAAGAATTTAAACTAATCTTCTCAACACTCTACTATAAGAGCATAAGAAAAGTCAAATACATGCTTAAAGTGTTTGAGTGAGGTGAAGAATATTATAGACTTTAAACTCATTATATAGCTACTAACATCCACTTTATTGCTCATCCAATGTGATGTGAGATTTTTTAAGATTTATTATTTTCATCAACCGAACAATCTCCACTATGATTAAAATAAACACATTTTCCTTTTTATCTCAATTGTCTACACCAACAATCATTCATACTCCATTATAATTATACTCACTTGAAATTAAACCATTCCAAGATTTTCTTTCATTGCACACCTGTATCAATGATAACCAACACTAGTGTATAATCACCACATACCCTACATCAATATTAGTTAATGTCTTTGCACAATTATCGCTAGCAAAAACTCACCATTTTCCATGACAACGCGATTATGCCATGAGGATACTTAACTCCATGTCAGAAGTTCTTCCTTTCATCACCTTGTGTAATTCATATTATCTCTCTATATCACATTTGACAACACTTGCAAATGATATTGCAACTTCAGTAATCAATGATGATTATCTAACAACAAGGAATTAATCTTTTTTTGTGTGAAAGATCAGACTAAACTGCAACCACAGAGCATACTAAAAATATCATACTGAACCATTAATTTTGATACTACTATGATGAAAAAAATGTCATGGAGAACATCACCGTCTCTATCTCTAAGAATTACTCTACTAATAGAGAAATAAGAGAAAAACAATCAACACAAAAATATAACGTTCAAACTTCAAAACCGGAGAAAAACCACAACCATTATTTAATGATAACTAGAGAATAAATACTATGTGAAATTTTTTACAACACATAGATAACTCTCTCATACCATTTGACCCCAAATACACTCATACTCTACTACAAAAGTTTAAGAAAAATCAAATATATGTTTAAAGTGTTTTTGACTGGGATGAAAAACATCATGGACTTTAAGCCCATTATATAACTACTATCACGTACTTCATTACTAATTCAATGTGATGTGAGATTTTTCAAAATGTATTATTTTCATCAACCCAACATAAACAATAAAAATACTTCCACAGAAGAAGAAAACATCATAATGAATTTTCTCTTTCACATATGATGACTTGATAATTGATCTAGAAAGGTATGCAAACATACATATCTCCATGAGTTTAAACACCAAATTTTCGTGAACAATATACAAGTATCACCAATAAACACTCAACAAAGAAAGTAAAAAGAGAGAGATTATTTTCTATTTCCAATATAAAATGGGAAAATGTTATGTTGGGGGCTTTATCATTTAAAAAATGAATTTGCACAATGTATTATAAGACACATCAAATATGCTAAAGATTATAAGATGTATAAGAGGCTTAAGGTTAGTCTTGAAACTAAATTTCTGCTTTATAGACCTTCTCGTTGCAATAAAATACTGATTGCTAAAGTTGTTGCCAATGAGACATAAACAAGTTTTATCCATCTTTTAAGTAAATAGGTTGGAGGAGGTGTGTACTGTTCATTTGATAGTTTTTTTTTTAAATATTATTTAGTTATCCGTATTTTTTTCAACAATATTATTCTTTTTTTCTTCAAAATTTTAAAGTTTTATTTGACCAGTAAACAATACTTAATTCATTAAAACTACTAAAATAATATTTTGAATTAATATATTATTATTATTTGTTATTATTTTTATTATTTATCATATTGCTTTATTATTATTATTTAGTATTATTTATTTATTTATTATTATTGTTATTTGTTATTATTATTATTATTATTATTATTATTATTATTATTTTATTTGTTGTTATTTCATAGACCATTAGCAAATAATATGTGTTTAAGTATTTATATATAACAAAAGTATTATATTTTAAATTTATTAGGATGTGCAATATTAAAACTATATTCATGGATAATTATTTATTAATTTTAGTTTAGTTTGATATTATGTAGGTTCATTCTAAGGTTTTGATACAACGACATTATAATCCTTTAAGGTAGGATAACTCGATTCAATGATCAAGGTCGGACAATTCTACACAAGACCTTTTGATGTTACTCTACACGGTGACCCTTTAAGGTTAAACGGTTCTACAAAATGATCATTTGAGGTTAAACGATTTTACACTATTATCCTTTGAAGTCAGATGACTCTGCATGATGACCAAAAGTACGACAATAACGTACTTTGATTATTAATATAATAGTTGAGTTAAGCGACTCGACGTAATACCGTTGTCAATTACTCACCTAAACTTCATCGTTTGTAACTTAAGATTGAAGGTTATGTGGTGTCCCAATGAAGAGTCTCACCTTGTAACCAAACAATGACATAGTAACACGGTCATTTAACCTACTTAAACCTCATGGTGACTTGAGACTGAGGGTTATATGGTGTTTGAACGAAAGATCTCATCCTGTGACCAAACGACGATATAATAACACAGTTATTTGACTTATTTCGAACCTCAACGTTTATGACTTGAGGTTAAGAGTTGTATAATATCTAAATGAATTACCTTGTGGTGTGACCGATCAAATGATTCAATTACCATATGATCTTCTCTCGTAAGAATGTAATTCCACAAATCTCACTCAAAATTATTACTTATTAATATAAATCTTACCTAACGAAAATCAAACTATTTAATGGATATAATAATAGAATATGGGAATATGACATAAATATTCTAGATTCAAAACAAAACAGCCTATTAAAAAATAATTTATGTTAGGTTACAACCAAATTCACTAAATATAATTGATCAAGATTTGAGAATTTTTTGATCAAGTCTCAAAATTTGTTTGTTATTTTAAAATTTTATAATTGTTCTCTTTTTTTTCTTATGAACGTCACATTATTGTTTGTGCTCTAGTTTAGTCTTATTATAAAAAATAAAAAGATTTTATAGATTAACCTTATTTGTTTTTTCATTATGTTTTTGGAAATTCCTTTCGACAACAGCAACTTTGAATGGAAAAATAGACTTTCTAATGCAAAATAATAAAAAGAATAGAGTGAATTGACATTGTGTTGGATGTAATTAGGAAGCATACACTTAGAAAGTTAACGTACTATATAATTGATAGATGCAATGTAATCTCATAAATAGAGACATAATTGCAAAAATTATGGATTAATTCCTTATATAGAAACTTGAATAACAAAAAGTGAACGACAATTTGTGGCCAGTGTTCCTACAAGCAAGGAGAGCCTTAGGCAAATGGACACCCACTCACCCTGTCATTCTGGTCCCCAGATAGGTGCGCGTTTCCCCTCCACAGCAACAACAACATACAAATGTGTTTAGCCTTTGACTCTGACCCTCTTCCTTTTCCTCTCTTTCTTCACTCGTCTTACCTCTTCCTCGTACCCTATCTCTCCCTCTCTCAAACAATAAAACACCAACAGAGACCGACACAGACATACACTGATGAAACAAGCAGCTGCAAAGTCATTCCTGAGGAGGCTTTGTCCGAACATCGATAAAGATGATGGGTTGGAGACCGTTCTTGAAATACCAATACCCGAAGAAATGTTCACACCCATGGGAAGCAACGTGACGTTGCGGTGGCAAAACATGTTAACGTGGATGAAGGCCCAAACAGAAGACAAATTGGCAACACCTACAGTTGCATCACGCTTAAACGAGCTTCGCTTCCTGCTTTACCTCGTTGGATCCCCTCTTATCCCTCTTCAGGTCCAATTAGGCCATTCCGTCCATCGTCCAGTCAGAGATTGTTCCATTGTAAGAACATAAACACTTTATTATATGTTATGTACATTCGTTTTTCATTTGGTTTCGTGCATTGATCCATTTCACTGTGGTGTAGGAAGCATCAACGGCAAAGTATATAGTGCAACAGTATATAGCAGCAACGGGAGGACAGCCAGCATTGAATGCGGTGGATAGTATGTGTGTGATTGGGCAGATAAAGATTATTGCATCAGATTTTCACCACACCGGTGAAAACGTGGAGGTGAAGAAAAGCTCGGAAGAGATGGGAGGGTTCGTTTTGTGGCAAAAGGATCCCGATTTGTGGTGTTTAGAGCTTGTTGTGTCAGGTTGCAAGGTTATTTGCGGTAGCAATGGCAAGGTCTCTTGGCGCCATTCTTCTAACCAACAAACACCAGTTTCAAAAGGTGCTCCTAGACCTCTACGCCGTTTCCTTCAGGTACGTTAATCCCACTACCCTACTTTCGTAATTGCATGTCAAAATGGGTTTCATGTTTCTCAGATTAATCATTGTTTTTTATGTGGTTCTAATTGAACTCTGAATATAACTAAATTACTTGTTTATTAGGGATTGGATCCGAGGGCAACGGCTAACTTGTTTTTGGACGCTGCATGCATAGGAGAGAAAATAATCAATGATGAAGAGTGCTTCATCTTGAAACTGGAAACAAGTCCAGCAATTCGTGATTCCCAAAGCGGACCAAACTTTGAGATTATCCACCACACCATATGGGGCTATTTTAGCCAGCGATCTGGTCTCCTAGTTCAGTTTGAAGACTCAAGATTACTCACAATGAGAACCAAAGATGACAATGACATTTTTTGGGAAACAAGTTTAGAATCAGTGATTGAGGATTACAGGTACGTAGATGGGATAAATGTGTCACACAGTGGCAAGACTCGAGTTACAGTTTCCAGATATGGTGAACAATCATCCAACCATAAAAGAGAATTGGAAGAGAGATGGAAGATCGAAGAGGTAGATTTTAATATATGGGGTTTGAATGCTGAAAGCTTTCTACCTCCCTCGAGCTTAGGAAAGACATAAAAATTCTTTGCTATAGAAAGCTTTGTAATTGGTGTAGATTTTAATGTATGGGGTTTGGCATTGAAGAAAGCTTTCTATGTCTCTCAAACTTAGGAAACATACCAAATACTTTTGTAATAATATAGAATACACAACATATATGTAATCCCCTCCTTCCCCTATTCCCCTCAAAAAAAATATTTATATTTTGTAATGACAAGCATGAAGCTATTCAACAGATGATTGGAGTACTAATTTAAAAATATCCACGTTGACAAACATTTTTTATTTTTATAAACCAAACTGTTTGTTTTGCCACAATTTTATTTCATTTGTTGTTAGAGAAAAAAATGTATATTTTACCAGAGCTATGTTTATTTAATGTAAATTACACGAGACATTATGTGTTTTTTTAGTTAAATATACTCCACGATTAGATATACTTATACACACATTCTAATTATTATTATTATTATTATTATTATTATTATTATTATTATTATATTTTAAGAAAAAAAAAAACAAAGACACTCACTCAACCAAATACAATCTTTGCACATCTTTATTTAATAACATAATAATATTTGTTCTTTATATTTTAATATTAAAATCCTTTTTTGGTATCATCACTAAGAGAAAAAAATTAATTTATATTATATTTTATTTTCTCAACTCTCTTCAATTTATGTTTTCCTCAATCTTTTCTCTTGGGTATAAAGTCATAAAAATATTTTTTTTTCTTTACTTCTTCAATTACATATTTTTTTAATTTCTCTTTTCTTGAAATTTTGTCCCATGTCTCTAATAATTTATTATTTCAAGAATCAATATTTATATTATAAAATTAGTTATATTAAAATTTTTAATAAAATAATAAAATATAATAATAATAATAATAATATTCGATTATGTTTTTTTTAACAAGGTTGTTCACATATCATGATTCATATTTTAAATTTTCGTACGCAAAAGAACGTTAAACTATTCTTTTTTTTTTTAATAATTATGTTAAAATTCTATTGCTCAGGTTTTTATTTATTCTTAATGTTTATATATTATTATCTAGAATTAAAATTATAAGGGCAATTTTAAAAAAAATATTGTTGTTTTATTTTATATCTTATAAAAAGTATTATTTAAACTATGGATGGATGTAGATTGGATTTTAAATCCAAATTTATATTTTCTAAAAAGAAAATAGTTTGAAATTTTATCCAAATAATTGGATTGAAATTTATATCTAAAACTATATATCTTTTTAATATAATTTGTATTTTATAAACCCATATTCATATTTTTAAATAAGAAGTAATACATATATATTTTTAAATCAACTTTTAAGCAAATGTCACGAAACACGGCTATATTATACTTCCATTAAAAACTAAAACATCACTCTCTTCTCGCAATCATCAAAATGGATCATTTACAAATGGCAGATAAAGTGAAATTAAAGAAATGTTCAACAGAAAAATTATATATGCCAACCAATGCCAAACGCAACACAACATTTTTAAATAAAAGTGTCAATAAAAAAAATTATCCCATGATTTTAAATTAAAGGGAAAGAAAATAGTATAAAATAAAACTCTTACAATGAAGTTCATTTTCTTTAATCTAATAGTTATTTTAACTATTTATATGCAACATATAATATCTTATTTTATTAATTTAATACGATTTTTTTCTCAATGCAAAATAGATTTTTTTAATCATATATAATAAGAGTACAACTCTTACAGACTTATATATTTTTATTTAAATGCTTTATTTATGAAAATTTTATTTTGATTAAGATTTCTGATTCACTAACATTTATATTAAATTTTATTTAAAATAGCTGAATTAAATTTCATTCTTATGAGTCTAACCTTGGTAGGTAATGCAAGAAGAACACAGATAAAAAAATATATTTAAATATTAAATTCCAATTTCAATACCAGAAAGAAATGTAGAGAATATACAATAAAACGATGTCGTCCGGTGTCGGTTGTCTCAAGAGCTATAACTAATACCAGCAATGGCATTAAAACGCGGAATGTAATTGCGTGGAATGGACGGCGACGATTGTCCCATATCAGATACGACCAAAGTCAACAAAATCAAAAGCAATAAGTGGTGGCCCACGAGATGTAGCCTTGTCCCTTCCGTATGGGGAAACACCGAATCCGTCATTTTCTTATTATTACACCGCAACCTCATAGCAGTGTATTGAGTAACACAACACCGTCGCTCCCAATTCCATCACAAACAAAACAAATTATCGATTCGTATAACAAACCAGGTCGCACCCAATTTCTCTCCTCTCCGAAAATCCGATCTAGTTGGAAAGCGATGAAGTTGAAGCGTAGTAGGTGGTAGGGTCGCGTCTCGAGTGAGAAACCATTATCACATACATTACCTGAATTATTATTATCATTATTATAATTATTATCAACTAATTAATTGGATCAAGCGAGAAATGAAGGACGACGAGGGGCTTCCAACCATTGCCGCGGGTGCGAAGAAGGAACCATCGGATTCTGGTCTGTTTGGGAAAGGGAAGTATAAGTTTTGGGCGTTAGCGGCAATTTTGCTTCTGGCGTTTTGGTCGATGTTCACCGGCACCGTCTCTCTGCGGTGGTCCGGCACTCTGAATTCCATTTCCAACGACATGGACGCTCCCATCCACGATGACCTCGATGTTCTCGTTAGTCTCTTCTGTCCTTATTATAATTATGAGTGAATTAGGGTGCGCAGCACAATGTGATGGATGTGGTTTTGATGTTTTGCGCAGGAAATGGAAGAGAGAGAGAAGGTGGTGAGGCACATGTGGGATGTTTACACCAACAGTCGCAGGATCAGGTTGCCGAGGTTCTGGCAGGAGGCGTTCGAGGCTGCCTATGAGGATTTGATGAGTGATGTGGCTGAGGTCAGAGACGCTGCAATTACCGAGATCGCTAAGATGTCTGTTCGCTCCATTCATTTTGATCCACCTCCTGTTCAATCTACGGTCCGTTTTACTTCTTCTTCGTCTTCTTCCTTCTCTTTTGCTCGCTAAAACTCTTCAATTTTATTTTTTTAAAATAGGGTTTCAATTTATCATAGGGTATTGTTTTTGGTGTCTTAGTCACAGCAGTTGTAGGTTCACGACTTGTGGTGACTGTTATGGGATAGGAAAACTGATTCAATCGTTGAACATATATATTTCATTTGAAATTTGGAATATCATTTCATTTAAGGTATTGTTTGATAAACTTTTCAAAAAATACTTATTGGAGAATAAAATAAAAAAGGAAATTGAATTAAACTTCTCGCATCAATTTATGTTAACTTCAACAAAAGTTGGTGTGATTCGTTTGACTCTTTATTTTCTTCTCTACAAATTCTTATCGAGAAGTTTATTACCTATTTGTTTTCACCAGCTTTGTTGCAAATGGAATTGTTGTGAGTATATTTTATTTTATGTGGAAATTGATTGAGGATTATGTAAGGCATTTTCTGGATACGAAATCTCGTGTACTTTCGGGTTTATTTTGCCTAAGGAAGGTGAAGAACAGTTTGAATGAAAGTCATACGAATCCACCTGTTAGGAGGCATCTTTTTCCTTCTATGACTCATCTATGGTGGTACTATGCTCTGATTCGTCAGTTATACTTTATATGTTTTGATACAAAAATATTCTGTACAAACTAGAACTACTGTTTGCACGATATGGTATTCAGTTTAAAGAAGGTTTAAGTTACAAGTTATTGACAACTTTCTTTTGCAGTGTAATATATGCCATTATGGTAAAACATACATGCTTGATTGGATTTAAAATTCTCTTAACATCGAACTTTGATTATGTTAGTGTAATAATTTAGTAAAATCTTTTTCCTTTAGCCAGTCTGGTTAGACCACCATCTAACAAAGTAATAATGCTCCTAGTGCCTTTTCTCCTTCCATTGTTTTCGAAAGGTTTTGTATGTGTGACATCTGGGTTTTTGTTATTATTTGAGAAAGAAGAGTAAAATACAAGAAGGAGGGTAAGGGTATCCTCCAGCCGCCAAGGCAAACTACTAACAAGAGCATTGTAAATGTTCACTATAAAGTCCGTGCTTTGCATGTCCTGTTCAGGGAGTGTAATTTCATTAAATTAGCTGTGGGCTAATTACTTGTATCTTCATATAAACTGCAACATTAAAGAATTAATAGGACAACAGTAATCTTATATCTGTAGAGTTTGTTGAATCCTTCATGATGAATTGGGATTGGATGAGTTCTTATTGAATTACAAAAATACAATCATCAAAATGTAACCAGAGCTTGAAAAACTTATATCAAAGCTTGTGCTTTGCATGACTTGTCAAACAGTAAAAATACATTATGTCGGCTGCATGTGTATTATTTTATATACTTTGAGCTAGGGATGGAGGCAGAGCTTCTCTTGGGGGCAAGAACAAAGTCATTTTTACATATGTATTAAGGGGATCGCAAATTTTTTTACGCTACATATAATGAGCTTCAAAAAATTTGGGAGTGACCATGGTCCCACCAGGTCACCCCCTCTTTCTGCCCTTGCTGTGAGCTAATTAAATTTTCTTTCTTCACAAAAATGGCAATAGTACTTGCACATTATTCATCTGCGTCTCTTTTTAAGATTTTATGGACGTATAGTTGCCTTGCACCAATTAAATTTGTGAATAGCTCCTTTTGATGAACTGGGATTGAATACATTTTAGGAGTCGTTCTTGACTTAGATATTTTGTCTGTATTGTTGATTTTATTTGCAACATAAGCTTATGAATTTAATCAGTTCATCCTTCTTGATTCTATTATATGTTTGGTGCTCCTGTTTGACGAAGTTCAGTTTTGGGTTTAACTGCTTAGATCTTGCCTCCTATTTTGGAGTCATGGCAGCATTTTGCACAAGGCAAAGCGGGGATTGACTAATGTATTTTAATGTTTAATGTAGAGTAGCTTGGATAATTATTCTGGTATCTTGATGTGAATTACTTGATACTTCCTTACTTTAGGTATCTTGATCATGGTTGTTAAGGGTTTGTATAATTTAAACTACTTTCCTTTTGGGGAAAATGAGTGAGTTAGATTAGAGCTCTCTTATAGAGATGTAGGAGCTAATTTTATTCCAAATTATGGATCTACAGCATTTTTCAACCGATATTGTTGGTCTAATATGTGAAACTTTAGGTCTTTGTCAAATGCAAATGTTATCATTTCATTGCAAACGTTGTTGCCTGATTTCTTCATTTTGTGCCATTTCAGAGTGCCCGAGAATTTAGCAAGAGCCTTACGCAGGCCGATAAAGGAAAAGAAGCAGCATTGTCGAGGCGTGCTTAATTGTTAGTGTGTTGAGCATTGAAGGGTGTGACTTATACTTGAAAATGCTGGAGTGCTACTAGAAGATTGTGATGAGATAGTGATAGATGAGTTCACATTCGTGTTTCCATGTTTCCATCACGGGGATAATGATGTATTTTAATAGGCTGTGGTTCTTTAAAATTTTGCAGTCAAATTCAGTCTTCACGAAGTGAGGAGTAGTTAATTGAAACAGGACCTTTGAACAGACAAAGTTAACTGAGCATATTTTCTTTAGATACGTGGTGGAACAGCATCTAAATTATAAATCTCCCATGTTTTAATACGGACAATTCTTTCTTGACTACAGCATGTAGGCATAGCATAGCCAGCATACATGAATTACGCCTCCTTGAGTTATACACAACATTATAATTTCTATTAAATGACACCACACTTAGTAAAATGGCGAGTCCACGTTCAAAGGGGTTATAACATGTAACATGAAATATTTGTATGCAATGCATGTTACTTTATTGGAATTTGATTCAGGCACAAGTTTGGAATTATATTTTATTTTACACGCAAATACTTTCTTTTTTCTTTTGCCAATATAATTGAATTCATGGATGTACGTTAAAATTTGAAAAGCAAAATGAAGTATTTCAAAGCATGTTGGTGACAATATGAGGCGCATTCGGTTTGGATGCATTGCCATGAGAATATTGGTATAGAAAAAAAAAAAAAATATATATATATATATATATATATATATATATATATATATATATATAAGATTATTTAAAACTATTTTAAAATATTAATCTAAATAAAATTTAAAATATAAATAAATTATACCATGGAATATAAATTAAAATGAAAATATTCTTATCTTATCCATGGCGAATTTTAATTGCTCATATTTACATGCGCGATGTTTTTATCAATCCGATAGGATTGGAACTGTGAGAAAAGAAAAGCGGTGAAACGGTGAGAATCAGGGATACTAGAAAAAATGAAGTGCCCGTATTGCTCGGCGGCACAGGGGCGTTGCGCGACGACGAGTAGCGGTCGTTCAATCACGGAGTGCACGTCTTGCGGGCGCGTGATGGAGGAGCGACAGTCGCATCCCCACCACGTGTTCCACATGCGCGCTCAAGACAACCCTCTGTGTCTGGTCACATCGGATCTCCCTCTCCCTCTCCCTCTCAATCAAAACGACGAGGAGGACCCTTTCGAGCCCACGGGCTTCATCACCGCCTTCTCCACGTGGGCCCTCGAGCCCAACCCACTTTACCTTCAGTCCTGCCTGTCCTTCTCCGGCCACCTCGCTGAGCTCGAACGCACTCTTGAATCCTCCTCTTCCTCTTCTTCCACTTCTTCTTCGTCGTCGACGGTTGTGGTTGATAATCTGAGGGCGTACATGCAGATTATCGACGTGTCGTCAATTCTAGGGTTGGACTGCGACATTTCCGATCACGCTTTTCAGTTGTTCAGGGATTGTTGCTCCGCTACGTGTTTGAGAAACCGCAGTGTGGAGGCGCTTGCCACTGCCGCTCTTGTTCAGGCCATCAGAGAGGCTCAAGAGCCCAGAACCCTTCAGGTCATTACGTTTCTGCTATGCTAACTTTCCATTTCTTTTTTTCTCTTGTAATTAGTATTCTTCAATGATTGATTTCAATTATTGTCTTCTGGATATGAATATGTGCATTTTCTTGAGTGAAAATCAACGCGCGGTCAATTTTAGGGATTTCTGAAGGAAGAGTCATCGAACTCAAACAGGCAACTAGCATTTGAGTTTGCTTTTAATAGGAACATACTGTTTGCTTGATATATTGGAGAGCTGAAAACGTGGATCTTATTTTGATATATGTTATATTGATGTTTGTGTAGTGATATGGCAGGAAATTTCAATTGCAGCTAATGTGCCCCAAAAGGAAATTGGAAAATACATTAAGATACTGGGAGAGGCTTTGCAGCTAAGTCAACCTATTAACAGCAATTCCATTTCAGTTCATATGCCGAGATTTTGCACGCTTCTTCAGCTCAATAAATCTGCCCAGGTACCTCCAATCACATTCAAATTTCATGGTTTCAACATCATTTTGTTTTGAAATCTTGGGTTCTATATGCCTACAAGCATAAAACCATTGAATTCTGCCATGATATGAAATAACTGCTCGATTTCCCCTGCTCTTGCATTTGCAAGGTTCCAGAGTCTTTTTTTTTTTTTTTTTTTTTGCTATTCCTTTGTAAACCAAAGTTTGTGTGATACGTACAGAATATAAGAATAGTTTCCGCATGACCGGATATAACTTTTGTATTGGTGATGTGTACTCATTTCATCGGTGGATATTTGGTTATACTTTGTTGTCTAAGGATCAATTTTGGTGCATTATTTTATACTGTTCCATATATTACAAAATTTTGGTGCATTATTTTAGGAACTGGCTACTCACATTGGAGAGGTCGTGATCAACAAATGCTTCTGCACTCGCCGGAATCCTATTAGCATCTCAGCCGCTGCTATATATTTGGCTTGCCAACTTGAAGACAAACGCAAAACCCAGGCAGAAATTTGTAAGGTGACTGGTCTTACTGAAGTCACGCTCCGTAAAGTATACAAGGAACTATTGGAGAATTGGGATGATTTGCTTCCCTCTAATTACACCCCAGCTGTTCCTCCAGAGAGGGCATTTCCCACAACGATAATTGCTTCTGGTCGTTCGTCAACAGCTAAGGCTGATGCTGTAGAGGCTATTTCTTCTTTGGACTCAGAAAAGTTGACAGATATTAAACCTAGCAAACCTAATGAGGTCTCAGGCATAGTTCATCAGTCCAGAGTGAAGGATGAGGCTGAAGGTAAAAGCAATGCTCATGCAAGCCATTCCACACTGAATCAACAGTCAACCTTTTGGCAACCCCAGCTTCCCAGTGGTTCCCACAATCATCAGAGTGTTTTACAAGGAATGGAGATTGATATATTGCAGCGAAGCCACCAACAGCATGAACACATGCCAGAGGATACAAATGGTGCTGCCAACGTTAGTTCTCTAAAATCAAGCCAACTTTGCAGTCCTCCTGCTTCGATTGCAAGTTCTGCTATGAGGCAGTTTTCAGCACCAACTTCATCTGGCCCTTCAAATGTTCGATTAGGACAATCACCGAAGATAATGCCTGGTTATCCGGAGCACTGAAGAACAACGAGTCAAAATGGTTGGAGAAATACAGGTTCTTGTGCCAACACAATCTAGCACGGATAAAATTAGTTTGTTTCTTTTAAGTATTCTATTGTATATATACGCACATTGTGTCACTTGATTTATTTCCTTGGCGTGAACTTTGGTGTGGCTATAGCTAGAACCCAGAACTAGAAATTCGTAGATGACTTATGAGTGTTTGAAACCCGTTTTCATCACTGCAATTAGCGTTCACATTGAACAAAGCATGAAATTAAGGAGGAATACATGTCTTTTATGTTCAACGACTGTTTACATGGATGTAACTGGTAGCCAAACTCATACTAACTCGCTACATGTTGCACTGAACTTATCATTCAAACTCAGTAGATTTCTTTAAATATTGAAGTCATGGTCATATGTATCTGATTTCAGATTTCGTTGTTCAAATCTCGGAGTCAATACAGGACAACCTGGAACTAATGCTCTGTGCGTTTATAGTGCTCCTTCTCTACTTGAGGACTTTCATTCTCAAGTGAAGGAGACGAATCCTGTTTAGCCATGATGTTGGTGGGAGGAGTAAGAAGTGCTACACAACCGAATTATGAAACAAGGTTACCAGTTACACCCATCCTATTCCTATTCCATCCATTGTGTCCTTGTACTTCCCTATTTATTTATTTAGTTGTTGGGTCTGTAATTTAGTTTGAAAATTATATATATATATATATATATATATATATATATATATATATATATATATTGAATGTATTAAAAAAAGTATGCAACAAATGATAAAACAAGTCAATTTATCTCGTGTGTTAATTTGTTTCGCCTCTAATTCATAAAAAATGGGGTAAGGCGGGGTATTCTCTCGAATTACAAATCCCAGAATATCACCCCAACAAATTGGCAAGACTATATATATTTTTTTTATATAAAATTTTTTAAAATGTATTTTTAAAAAATATATATTTAATTATAGGAATATTTTTTAAGTTTTATTTATTAATTAATATTTTTATTATATAAATTGGAAAAATTACTATATTTATGTATTAAAATAATTAATTATAATGAATAATTTAAATTTAATTGATTAAAATTTATAATTTATTTATATATTTGAATAATATGATAAAAAATATAATATAATTTAATTAAAATTTTTATGTTTATTTTAATATATAAATATCTTTTTAAAGTATGTTAATTCGTCCTATTCTTGTCTATGGAGAGTTAGCGAGTTCCGTTATTGACGTTATCGAGAGTTAGCCAGTTTAACGGAACGACAAGGTAGCGAGTTTAATGGAACAAATTAAAACGGAATTGTGGACTAAAATTAGGAACCATTATTTAAATTTTTTAGGCAACAGGTGTAGCTTGTCCTCCGTAATCAATGGGATGAGTGGTAATACATTTTAACCGATAACATGTTTAGGCCCATCCTACGGTCCCCATGGGCCAAATTTGTGAGTTGATCTGCGTAATTTTTATTTATTTTAAAAAAAATTAAATTAGTAAGTGGTTTACAAATTTTTATGCTATTTAGTCCAATCTATCTATCTCCAATTTTTATGTGTTTTTTATTTTCTTAAAATAAATAAATTAGTAAGTTATCTACAAGTTCTTACATTGTGTTTTTATTATTTTCAACGTTGAAGTTTATTTAGTGCATCACTCTATTAATCTTAGGTTGTTATTTGTGATAAGATTTTTTTGTTTTACTTTTTTTTTTTTAATTTGATTTAAAATCAATTGTGACTAGAAATAAACGTGATGTTATTATTAGAAGTAAATATAAAAAACAAATAGAAGAATTATGAAACTAAGGATTAAATTCGTTAAATAAGAAAAGAAAATGATATATTCAATATTTATATTAATTAAATTTTCTCCTTAAAAAAAGATTATTAAGACGTTAAAATAAGCTTGAAAAATAGTTTGAAAAATAGATTAGATCAGATAAAAAAAATTATAGTCTAAATTAAATTAAATTTATTTTAACTTGACCAATTTAAATCATAACCTACATATGTTTCAAGTTAGTATATAAGTATATGGATCAATTAGTTTTATTGAACACAAAATTATTTTTTAAATAGAGGAAAGATATTATTTTATTAAAAAAATATATGTATTATAAATTAATTTAATAAAAAAATTATTTATTATAAAAATAAATATTAAAATAAGTTTATAATAATAATTTATTTTAAAATCTAATAATTAAGATTAATAATTATTTTAAATAAATAAATTACTAAAAAATTAATGATAATAACTAAAAATAAGTTTTTAATTCTTAATTTGAAATTAAATGATTTTTTTTTAATTTATACATTAAATTTTTACATCTTAAATAAAAATTAATTTTATTAATATAATTTAAATATTTATAATATTTTTTTATATAATTATGTTGGTATAAATATATTAATAATTTTTTTAATTTTTAATTAAGTAAAATATAGTTCAATAGCTCGTTGACCTAATATATTATCACGTTAGACAAAAAAATTAAAATTTATTTTAAAATATATGTTAGGCTGAATTAGATCGTGAACAAAAAATTAAGGTATGTTTTAAAATATATGTTAAACGGAGTTGTATCATTAATTTTTTTACTTATCAGTAAATTTAGGTCAAACAAAATTACTTGTTTTCACCGTTCTAGATATTATTATTATATTTTATTTTGATTTTTATGAATTGAAATTTTAAAAAGACAAAATATAAATAAGGTGTCATGTTTAAAATGGAACTAATAAAAAAATCAATAATAAATAAAAGAAATATCAAAAACTAATTAAAATCAAATATTTTGGATTAAAAACTTTTAAAATTGATCAATTCAATTTTCGGTTTGGTGATCATGAAGTGAATCACAATTATAATATATATGAAATTGAATAGCATTTATTGTTAGTAAACTAATTAAAACATAAGATATGACATGAACTATAGGAAACTATAACTAAGAATGTGGCTTGCGAGTGAGCCAACAAGGCATAATAATTCAAATTTCAATTATTCAAATCTATCACAATCAAATAAAACACAACATAACTATCCAACTTTTAATTATGTAATTTTATCTCAAGAAAACCTAGCAGCGGATTTGTAGCAACTAAATCGTAAGTAACTACAACATCATGACAACAAAATCTATTATGGTAATACATTTCATTTACATCAATAAATATTTATTTAAATTATTAATTGATTATTTTTTATGGCCTAGAATATTAGTTATTAATTTTAGTTTCTTATAATTTAGAGTCAATATTGTTTTTATTGAATTTGAAAGCATATGTTGTTTATTTAACAAGTATTTTAATCACAAAAATTGTTCAAACTAAACCTAAAAATATTGGTTGGGATTAATAGAGAAAAAATAGCACAATAACTTAGATTTCCTTAAACTTATAAGAATATATGTGGAACAACATCAGAAATAATTATAGTAGAGAATACCAATATTTTTAGCATGAAAAAACTTTTTCAATATGAGAAATAAAAATCGACAGCCACAAATCAGTCAATCAAGCTCCACTAATATTAAGAGTACAAGAGAGTTAAATCAAAATATACAAATAAGTACGTATAAGCAACCAATATATCAAAATAACCATACTCTCAAATTTGAAGAATAAAGAAAAGAAACATAAAATTTAGTCACAATGCAAGACTGATATCTCCTACCACAGACCTCCAATTAATGATCCTAACTGTGAAAACGAAGACCCTTACGCTGCGAACCTATTATCAAAATTTCAGTCTGATCTAATAGTGAACGAAACAGTAATTGTAATTTTATTGAGGTGACTCGGTAAAAATAAGCGAAATTGTTTTCTTGTCAAAACGAAAACCCTTATGTCACGAACCTACTGTCAAAATTTCAGCTCAATCTAACAGTGAACAAAACATGAATCATAATTTTACTAAGGTGACTTGATAAATAAGTGAATCTATTTTTTTTTCTCTCCAAAGGATTGCGAAATGTTAGTGTATGCTCTAACCTAGCAGACTCTTCACTCATTTTAGATGAGATAAAATAAGTTTGACTAATTTGGACATTTTAGACACATAGTTGGGAGTTCAACTTAACACATCTCCCTCCTCACACTTATGTGAAGGTAATCACCAATCCGACGATCTCACAAGAAGTTTCAAACTTCTACCTTGACAATGTCTTAGTTATCATATCAACATTATTGTCATTTGTATGCACTTTATCTAACTCCAACAACTTAGCATCCAAAACATCACATATCCAATGATATCTCATATCAATATGTTTGGATCTAGAATGAAAAGTTGGATTTTTACGAAGATGAGTAACACTCTGAGTGTCCACAACTAATGGATAATTGTTCTACACAAAACCAAGCTCTTACAAGAATTTCTTCAATCATAATAACTCCTTGCATACTTTTGTAATGACAATGAACTTTGTCTCTGTATAGTAGATAATGTTACACATTTTTGCAATCTTGATTGCCAAGCTACAACTTCCCTTGCAAACTTAATCAAATAGTCCGAAGTGGACTTTCTAGAATCAATGCCTCCAGCCATATCTGAGTATGAGTAACCCATCAAAATGAGTTTATTATCTCCAAAATAAAGTTGCAATTCATTAATATCATGAAGATACCTCAAAATCTATTTCACAGCATTCCAATGCTCTTTACCTGGATTTGACCAGAAACGACTGATTATACTAACAACATGTGTAATATCAAGTCTAATACTTACCATTACATACATCAAATTGTCCATTGCAGATGCATAAGGAACTTTACTAATATATGATTTCTCAATTTCATTTGAAGGACTCTGCTTAACACTAAATTTAAAATGAGTTGCAAGATGAGTGTTCATTACTTTAACATTTTTCATCTGGAATCTCTGCAACACTTTCTTAATGTAGTGCTCCTGTGACAGTCAAATCTTATTTTCATTTCTATCACATGAGATACTTATGTCAAGTATCTTTTTAGTAGCTCTCATGTCTT